ACCCATGATCTAAGATTTTTAATGATTGCTGTAATTAATGTTTCTCAAAGAGCTTGTTTTCTGTTACAACGTTGATTTTTTTTTTTTTTTTTTTTTGAGACAAAGTCTCACTGTCACCCAGGCTGTAGTGGAGTGGCACAGTCTTGGCTCACTGTAACCTCCGCCTCCCAGGTCCAAGCGATTGTCCTGCCTCAGCCTCCTGAGTAGCTGGGATTGCAGGCACCCACCACCATGCCCGACTAATTTTTATATTTTTAGTAGAGATGGGGTTTCACCGTGTTGCCCAGGCTGGTCTCGAACTCCAGACCCCAGGTGATCCACCCACCTCAGCCTCCCAAAGTGTTGGGATTACAGGCGTGAGCCACCACGCCCGGCTGATGTTTTTTTTAAAACTCTCTTTTTGGTCTGCTGTTACACTAACAGTAATTTTATTTACCATCTGGCTTATTTAGTTCTGTATACTAGATAATTAATATATACAATCTTTATGATAATTACTCATTCTTACAAGTTTTTGGAAATGAACAAAGGGACTGCTTTTCCCTTTCTCTGGTAGACACACCGTAAGAAGTGGACTTTGGTTGTAGTTTAGTGGTATAGATATTTGTAAGAAACTTTTAGGTTGGGTGCCGTGGCTCATCCCTGTAGTCCCAGCACTTTGGGAGGCCAAAGGCAGAGGATTGTTTGAGCCCAGGACTTCAAGACCAGCCTGAGCAACATGGCAGGATCCCATCTCTGCAAAAATTAAAAAATTAGTTGGATGTAATGGGCACATCTGTAGCCCCCGCTACTTCTGAGGGTCAGGTGGGAGGACCTCTTGAGACCAAGAAGTTGAGGTTGCAGTGAGTTGTGTTTGGGCCACTGCACTCCTGCCTGAGCGACAGAGTGTGACTTGTCTCAAAAATAAAAAACCCAGACAGTATTTAGCATGTTTTTGTATGTATATATAGTTTGCCTCAAACAATACATTAGGGGATGTAGGAAATTTTGTATGCTTTCACAAGGCATCTGAGATCCTCTGTGATCTGCCTCCTAGTTTCCTTGCAATTTTGAGCTATTTGGGAATAAAGGTTCTTTGTTAACAAATTTCCTATTTCCTGCCTGTTTTCTCTTATAGCTAAAACTATTTAAATGAGTGTTTTCCACTCCATATCTCTGCAACCTTGCTGTCTACTTACCCTTCAGCCCATTCTAACTTGATTTTAGTTCCCTCCACACTACTCACATAGCTCCTGCAAGGTATAGACTCAATTTTGCTAAATCCAATGAACATTTCGTTGGCCTTATCTTTCCTTCTCAGAGCATTCAGCACAAATTACTTTATCTGTTTTTCTTGAAACATTATCTTCTTTGGTATTTTTGCCATAATAGCTATACCATCTTCCTAGTAACTTCATGGTCTATGGATTTTTTTTTTTTTGTTAAAGAGACTGAGTCTTGCTTTGTTATCCAGGCTAGAGACAGTGGCATGATCATGGCTCACTGCAGCCCCGACCTCTGGATTCAATTGATCCTCCCACCTCAGCCTCCTGAGGAATAGCTGGGACTACAGGCATGTCCACCATGCCTGGCTAATTTTTGAGTTTATTGTAGAGATGGTATCTTGCTGTGTGACCTAGGTCTGGACCTCCTGGCCTTAAGCAGTCCTCCCACCTTGGCCTGCCAAAGTGCTAGGATTAAAGGTGTGAGCCACCACATTCGACTGGTCCATGACTTTTAACACTACCTCTAGACTTATACTTCACAACTTTATCTTTTCAGTCCTGGCCTTTTCCCTGCCTCTAGTATCTAACTACCCTCGTTTGGACTTGTAGTGTGCATTTCAAATATATTATCTCTATAAGAGGTGTTTTTTTTTCTGTTTTTTTTTTTCATGCCAAATCTGTTTCTTTTCCAGTCAGGAACCCAGTTTTTTATCCAAAAACCTAGTTCACCTTAATTGTCCTTATTCCTCACATCCAGTAGTAATTGAACTATAAATGTTAGCAGCCATTTTTTTTTTAAGATTATCTTATATACTTAGTATTTATTACTAACAGTTTCTCTAACCGTTACAGCAGTTTTGCAGGGTAGGTATGTTGATTCTCTTGTTGCATATGAGGAGATGAGCTCAGTCACTTGTCCAATGTCATGTGGTCCATAAGTGCCAGAGCTGGGAATCAGACACAGATCTAAAGATTGTGATTCTTCCAGTTTAATGATGGAGAGAAAATAATTTTTAAATTTTATTTTATTTTATGTTTATAATTTTTAAATTGAATGAGTGGGAATGCTCTAAACATATTTAACATTATGCATTAATATTGTACCACTGGTTGGTTGGTTTTGGTTTGAGAGAAACATTGTTTTTCTCAGAGTATTAACATTGTCATATTTATTTTGTAATTAAATTAGATTGTGGAGACTGAGTAATCTTATGCATGTATGCCTGTAATCCCAGCACTTTGGGAGGCTCAGGTGGGCGGATCACTTGAGGTCAGAGCTGGAGACGAGCCTAGCCAACGTAGGAAAACCCTGTCTCTAATAAAAATGCAGAAGCTATGTGGGTGCGGTGATGCATGCCTGTAATCCCAGCTACTCGGGAGGCTGAGGCACAAGAATTGCTTGAACCTGGGAGGCAGAGGTTGCAGTGAGTTGAGATGGCACCACTGCACTTGAGCCTGGGTGAGGGAGTGAGACTCTGTCTCAAAAAATAAATAAATAAATTAGATTGTGAAATACAAGATAAATATGCCACAAATATTCAGAGAATGTAAAGCTTAATGTAGCCTGGGAAAGGCAGGAAATTTTATGGACATGATCCAGTGACATTTCCATGATCCAGAGACAGGACATGGAGGGAGGGCCAAGCACATATATGTCAACAGTGTTATATAGTGCAGCAATAAGCCTGTTTTGACTGGGAGGGAGGGGGACATTTAAACATATGATCTGATTACTCCCTATCATAGTCCCAGTCTTTGTAAGGTTTATAATCTAGCAGGACAAAGAAGATCAACAAATAAGTCGTCATAATAAAGTTTCTGAAGGGGGAAGTATAGTGGTAGAGCATGGCAATTATATCTAAAATAGTCTGCAGAGTGTCAGGGAATGCTTTTTGGAGAAAGCAGCTTATGAACTGAAATCTAAACAATGAGTAGGAGTAACCCAGAAGAAGAAAGGTTTTGAAGAATATCTTAGGCAGAGAGAGGAAACATGTAAAGACATAACCTTGCTGGGTCATAGGGCCAGTTCTGGAGAGGAGTTCATGAGACCGGTTCTGGAGAGGAGCTATGACTTTAACAGAAGAGTGGCATGGTCATGTCATTGTTTTAGGGGAAGAAACCTGACCCAAATTTCATTTTTGCCTAGAGACCAAGGTAATAATAATGTTCAAGGTTATTAAGAATGGAGGAATCCTTTTCCGTAGGATTTTTACTTTATTTTTGTTTTTATTTTTATTTTTTGAGACAGAGTCACGCTCTGTCACCCAGGCTGTACAGTGCAGTGGCGCGATCTCGGCACCCTGCAGCCTCTACCTCCTGGTTCAAGCAATTCTCCTGCCTCAGCCTCCCGAGTAGCTGGGACTACAGGTTCACACCACCACACCTGGCTAAATTTGTATTTTTAGTAGAGACAGATTTCACTATGTTGGCCAGTCTGGTCTCGAACTCCTGACCTCATGATCTGCCCGCCTCAGCCTCCCAAAGTGCTGGGATTACAGGCGTGCTCTGTATGCTTTTTCTTTCAGCTTTATTTTCTTTGCTCTGAAGTACCTTGCTTCCTTTCATTTTAAGTCTTTTACTGTCCTTTAAGGTTTCCTTGGGAATTTTATTTCTAAATTAATTATTTGGCATCAAGTTAAAGCTCATGTTCATTTTAAAAAGTAGAAAGAGATAAACAAATAACAGATATTGGGAGTACGTTGGTGTAGGATCATAGTTATTTACCTCTGAACCTATTTATCAGACAACTAAAACATAAAGTGTTTTGTTTTATTATAAACCTGTTGTTTCCTGAAAACTAGTCAGAAAATCTTAACATCTCCTTCCATATGGTATAAGATTGCTCTCAGTTTCCTAATAAATTATTAACATAATTTTTGGTTTAGTAGAGACATTATTCTCTTCTAAAACCTTTTTGTAATTATGAGGAAACCAAGATATCTAGAAGCTTCAATTACCGAACTGTGAAACCTTTTTGTTTTGTTTTGTTTTGTTTTGAGACAGAGTCTTGCTCTGTCGCCCAGGCTAGCGTGCAGTGGCAGGATCTCAGCTCACTGCAACCTCCGCCTCCCTGGTTCAAGCGATTCTCCTGCCTCAGCCTCCTGAGTAGCTGGGATTACAGGCGCCTGCCACCATTCCTGGCTAATTTTTGTATTTTTAGTAGAGACAGGGTTTCACCATGTTGGCCAGGCTGGTTTCTGTCTGCTGACCTCAGGTGATCTGCCCACCTTGGCCGCCCAAAGTGCTGGAATTACAGGCATGAGACACCACGCCTGGCCCTATGAAACTGTTTTAAGACTTAAAAGTTGTGTTCTGTTGCTTATTCATTTTTTTAGGAATTTACATGTCTATAATGTATGTAACTCAGAATTAGCTTCCCTTTTTTTGAATTAGATTTTCAAAAAATAAATTCAGTAGTAAACTAGATAGAAATAAATCATCACTATGATGGTTTATTTTCGAGTGCAAAGGAGACAGTCATTATTATAAGACAATAGTAAGATTATATACACGTTCCCTGTGAGAATCAGCTAGTCCTGGAATCATTCCTTTTCCTGTGTGAGAGTAGCCTTTTAACAGCTATTTTGCACTGAGTTCTGTCCCTTTAAAAGTTTATCCCTATGAGGATGATAGTGTGAAGGAGATAGTAGATTGCCTATTATTTCTGTAAGTATCTCTAAAATTAAGCACTAGACAGTGCTTAAAACTCATTAGATTTGTATTATTTTATATATATATATAAATAAATAAAGTAATGGTGTTTTCTAATCAAAATCTAATCTTTTGACCCCTTAGCGCTGGCTGACAGAGCAGAGAGCTCAATGTCCTCATTGCCGGTAAGTGTTTCGCTATGATTATTTGTGAGTTTGGAAAATAGTAAAGTCGGAATGTGCCTTGGGATTCATAAAGGCAGTTTTCCTGCAGTCAGCCCATTTCTCTTCTTCTTGAAGATAGTTGAGTAGAAATAAGCAATCTGACTAGAAAAAGAAATGCAGGGACTAATTCATGTGACTTAAAATTATGTTTACTATGTTATACTCTGCCTCTCTTAGAAAATACTTGTGTAAGTTCTTAATTTACCTTTCATAATTAAGCAACAAATTTTTCATGTTTCTGGTTAAAAAATCCAGATAGTTAGGCCATAACTTATCTTTTATAATTAAGCAAAAAATTTTAATGTTTCTGGTTAAAAAAATCCAGATAGTTTGGCCGGGCACAGTGGCTCACACCTGTAATCCCAGCACTTTGGGAGGCCAAGGTGGCTGGATAACCTGAGGTCGGGAATTCAAGACCAGCCTGGCCAACGTAGTGAAACCTTGTCTCTACTAAAAATACAAAAATTAGCCGGGCATGGTGGCACACACCTATAGTCCCAGCTACTCAGGAGGCTGAAACATGAGAATCGCTTGAACCTAGGAGGTGGAGGGTGGAGTGAGCTGAGATCGCACTGCTGCACTTGAGCCAACGTCGCGCCATTGTACTCCAGCCTGAGTGACAGAGCGAGAGTCTGTCTCAAAAAAAAAAAAAAAAAAAAAAAAAAAAAATCCATATGGTAGAGATAAATATAAAATAAAAAGGCTTCTGATTCTGATACTCCCTGCCCTGTCTTCTCACTTAATAACACTTGCAAAAGAAATTGTTGGATTTGGTATCTATTCTTCTAGACTGTTTTTTGTGCACGTATTTTGTAATGCCCTAATCCAGTATAATTGTGCCTATATTTAAATATATGCGTATGTGATTCCCATATGCGTTTTCTTAAAATGTACCAATGATATAATATTGTTTTGCAGTTTGCTTTTTCATGTAAAATAGGTAGGTATCTTTTCTTGATTGTATGTGTATATAAGTCATTTTTTTTAAAAGTGACTAATCAATGTTATGACTATACCTTGATTTATTTATCCCCATATTGAGAGACATTTAGGTTATCTCTACTTTTGATTTCAAAAAATAATGCTGGAGTGCCAACTGTTGCCCATTTTTTCGTTTTGTATTCACTTTTCTTTTTATTTTTTTGAGACAAGGTCTCGCTCTGTCGTCCAGGCTGGAGTGCAGTGGCGCGATCTCAGCTCACTGCAGCCTCGACTTCCTGGGCTCAGGTGATCCTCCTACGTCAACCTCCCTCCTAACTGGGACCACTGGTGTGTGCTACCATGCCAAGCTAATTTCGTTTATTTTTTGTAGAGATGAGATGTCACTGTTTTAGCCAAACTGGTCTTGACTTCCTGGGCTCAAGGGATCCTACCACCTTGACCTCCCAAAGTGCTAGGATTGTAGATGTGAACCAGTGTGCCCAGTCCCACCTTTCTTATATTATCTATAAGACCAGCACTGTCAAGTAGAACTTTTTATAATGATGAAAGTGTTCTATGTCTACACTGTCCAGTATGGTAGCCACTAGCTACGTGTGGTTGTTGATCACTTGAAATGTGTCTAGTGTGGCTATATGATGAAATTTTATTTAGTTATTTATTTTTGAAATGGAGTCTCACTCTTTCTCCAGGCTGGGGTGCAGTGGCGCAATCTTGGCTCACTGCATCCTCAGTCTCCCTGGCTCAGGTGGTCTTCCTACCTCAGCTTCACGGGTAGCTGGGACTATAGGCACATGCCACCACGCTTGGCTAATTATTTGTAGAGACAGGGTTTCATCATGTTGTCCAGGCTGGTCTCGAACACCTCGGTTCAAGCAATCTACCCGCCTCAGCCTCCCAAAGTGCTGGGATTACAGGCATGAGCCACCATGCTAACAGTACAGCGTTAGACTCAGAAGTTGAGAATTCAGTCCATATTCTGAATCATATGTTTTTGTTTAGTTTTTTTGTTTGTTTTTGTAAATGACGTGTTAATATGGTGAAAATAAGTTGCAAAGAGTATTTTTCATTGTGTGTTTTTCTTTTTTCTTTTTTTTCTTTCTTTTTTTTTTTAGTTTTAATAGTGTTATGGGGCCAGGTAGTGGCTCATACCTGTAATCCCAGTACTTTGGGAGGATCACTGGAGGCCAGGAGTTCAAGACCAGCCTGGGAAATATAGCGAGATCCCTGTCTTTACAAAAAATTTTAAAATTACCTGGATTTGATGGTGTGCTGCTGTAGTCCCAGCCACTCAGGAGGCTGAGGCAGGAGGATCGCTTGAGCCCAGGAGGTCAAGACTGCAGTGAACCATGATCATGCATGCCGCTGCATTCCACCCTGGGTCATAGAGTGAAACTCTATCTCTTAAAAAAAAATAGTGTTATGGTATGAGTATTATTGTGCTCTCTATTTTGAGAAACGTGTTTATTTTATAAAATAATCTGAAATTCATGAATTAGTGTATGTGTATGGATTTTCTCCCCAGTGCTCCACTCCAGCTACGAGAACTAGTAAATTGTCGTTGGGCAGAAGAAGTAACACAACAGCTTGATACTCTTCAACTCTGCAGTCTCACCAAACATGAAGAAAATGAAAAGGACAAGTATGTCCTCAATTTCTTTGTTCAATATGAAATGGATTTTGCCTTTGTGTTGTTTAATGACACTATATTGGTAGTTGCCATTTAGTTATTTATGAATAAGTAGTGTTAAATTTCTTAAGTTTTTAATTCTTTCCATCATGTGCTGTTGCTGTTAAGTAACATATTCTTGTTGTTTATTTAACAGCGGTTATTTCATGCCATGTATATACACAGGCACCCCTTGCCCTCTCCTCCCCCCATACAGAAAGTGCTTTGCTAGATGATAGGCATACAGAGGTAAATGAGACATAATTTCTGTTAACTGCTTAATGGGGACACAGTGATAATACTGTGTTAAGTCATTTGAGGGACAAGAATGAATAAATGGTCTTATGTTCCATGATTGAAGAATTTTGAACGTATCTGGAGAGTTGTTATGGGGAGCAGATAAAGAAAGGAAAGAATGATGTGGCAGTGATTTGTTTTTATAGATGAAGAAGCTACAACATGGTTAATTGTAAGGCTTCACTGTCCAGCAATAGTAAAATGACTTGAATTAGGTGAGAGCCCAGGACCCTTGAATGTTTAGAAATAAAACCTGGTCACTTTCTGTAGAGTCACAACATGGTAAAGCAAGAGGTTGAAACCTCATAGGTCATTAGAAAAAATTTTATCTGTTTCTTCATTATACTGAGGAACTAGAACCATAGAAATAAGAGAACAGGGCATGGTGGTGTGCACCTGTAGTCTCAGCTACTTGGGAGGCTCAGGCAGGAGGATCTCTTGAGCCCAGAGGATGGCTTAGGTAACATGGCAAGACCCCCATCTCTTAAAAAAAGAAAAAGAAAAAAAAAGAGGCTTAATTATGGTAGTATATGGTAGTATAACACCATATTCTGATAATTATGGTAGTATAACACCATATTCTAATGCATAATCAGAATTAAAACCTATTATTCAGACGGGTGTGGTGGCTCATGCCTATAATCCCAGCACTTTGGGAAGCCGAGACGGGTGGATTACCTGAGGTCAGGAGTTCAAGACCAGCCTGGCCAACGTGGAGAACCCCGTCCCTACTAAAAATACAAAAATTAGCTGAGTGTGGTGGTGGACACCTATAATCCCAGCTACTTGGCAGGCTGAGGCAGGAGAATCACTTGAGCCCAGGAGGCATAGGTTGCAGTGAGCTGAGATGGTGTCATTGCACTCCAGCCTGGGTGACAGAGCAAGACTCCGTCTCCCCCCCCCCCAAAAAAAAAAACTAAAACTAAAAAGCTGCTATTCAGGTTTAACTGGACTTTTAAGGAATTCTGTCATTTGTAGCATTGTGGAGGTCTCACCAAAAATAGTTATTTAATTTCTTTTCTATATAATAACACATTTCTTAGGTGAACACTTAGGTGTTTTTCCTCTGAAGTGGTGGGTATTACTATTTGGAAAGACCCTTTACCTCTTGTTGGGCCTGTTCTATTAGAGCCTCTCAAAAGGAATGGACTGCTACAGTTTGCTAACCTGCTAGTCTTTCTTATTTGCTGTTTGATGCCCACTGGCCTGCCCTTTTTGCAGGTGAATACAGGCTGTTGATTAAGAGGAGTTTTGGCAAATTTTCTATATTGTAAAAGCTATATTATAAATTTGGTATTTTGGAAGTCTTGCTATGTGAGCTTCCAAACAGTATCTGATATATTTTTTCTAACCTTTATTAATTTCCCATTTAATACTCTGATTACTTATGAATTAGAAATATAAAATATAAACCTATGTAAGTATTTTCTCTAAGATTGGTGTCCTTCATCAATGAAATGCTTTTTTAAAAATGCGTGAGTGGGTCAGGCGCAGTGGCTCATGCTTGTAATCCCAGCGCTTTGGGAGGCCGAGGCAGGTGGATCACCTAAGGTCAGGAGTTCGAGACCAGCCTGGCCAACATGGTGAAACCCTGTCTGTACTAAGAATACAAAAATTAGCTGAGCGTGGTGGTGGGCGCCTGTAATCCCAGCTACTTGGGAGTCTGAGGCAGCAAGAATTGCTTGAACCCAGAAAGTGTAGGTTGTAGTGGGCCAAGATCGTGCCACTGCATTCCAGCCTGGATGACAGAGCTAGACTCCGTCTCAAAAAAAAAAATTGCAAGAGTGTATCTACTTTATAAACAAGAGAATACTTAAAACATTTTAATTATGGTAAAATACACATAAAATTACCATCTTAATCAATTTTTTTTTTTTTTTGAGACGGAGTCTCGCTCTGTCGCCCAGGCTGGAGTGCAGTGGCGGGATCTCAGCTCACTGTAAGCTCCGCCTCCCGGGTTCACACCATTCTCCTGCCTCAGCCTCCTGTGTAGCTGGGACTACAGGCACCCGCCACTGCGCCAGCTAACTTTTTGTATTTTTAGTAGAGACGGGATTTCACTGTGTTTGCCAGGATGGTCTCGATCTCCTGACCTTGTTATCCGCCCGCCTTGGCCTCCCAAAGTGCTGGGATTACAGGTGTGAGCCACCGCGCCCGGCAATCATTTTTAAATGTACAGTTCAGTTATGTTAAGCATGTTCACATGTTCAACCAATCTCCAAAACTTTTTAAACTTGCAAATCTGAAACTGTACCCATTAAACCACTCGCCATTCCCTCTTCCCACCAGCCCCTGGCAGCCACCATTGTACTTTCTGTTTCTATCAGTTTGAGTACTCTGGATACCGCATATAAGTAAAACCGTACAGTACCTATCTTTTTGTAACTGGTTTATTTTACTTAGCATAATGTCCTCAAGGTTCATCCATGTGTCAAAATTTCCTACCTTTTTAAGGCTGAGTAATATTATATTGTATGTATATGTCACATTTTGTTTATCCATTCATCTGTCAGTGAAAATGGCGTTGCTTCCACCTTTGGGCTGTAGTGAATAATGTTGCTATGAACATGGATGTTCATGTCTTTGAGACTCTACTTTCAGTTCTTTTGGTTATGTAATCAGAAGTAGCATTGCTAGATCGTGTGGTAATTCTATTTTTAATTTAAGTTTTTAAGGAATCTCCATACTGTTTTCCATAGTGACTGTACCATTTTACAGTCCCACCAACAGTGCACAAGGATTCCAGTTTCTCCACATCCTGGCCAATACTTGCTTTTTTTGTTTGTTTTTTTATAGCAACCATCCTAATATGGTATGAGGTTAGGATTCACATTTCTGTAATGATTAGTAGTGATGAGCACCTTTTCATATGCTTACTGGAGATCTTTTGCTCATGTTTAAATGGGAGTTTTAAAAATTTATTTGTTGAATTATAGGTGTTATTTATATATTCTGGATATTAAACCTTCATTCTTCTCTCTCTCTCTTTTTTTTTTTTTTTTTTTTTTTTTGAGGCAAAGTCTTGCTCTGTTGCCCAGGCTGGAGTGCAGTGGTATGATTATCAGCTCACTGCAACCTCTGCCTCCCGGGTTCAAGTGATTCTCGTGCCTCAGCCTTCTGAGTAGCTGGGATTACAGGCGTGTACCACCACGCCCAGCTAATTTTTTGTGTTTCTAGTAGAGAAGGCATTTTCACTATTTTGGCCAGGCTGGTCTCAAACTCCTGGCCTCAAGTGATCCACCCGCCTTTGCCTCCCAAAGTGCTGGGATTACAGGCATGAGCCACCACCACACCCGGCCTGTAGTTTATTTGTGTAAATGGTGTAAAGTAAGGGTCTGTGTTAGTCTGCTATGTCTTCCATAACAATACTGCTGAGTAGCTTAAACAATAGAAATTTATTTTCTCACAGTTCTGATAGGTGTTAAGTCCCAGATTAAATGCTGGCAGTGTTGGTTTCTGGTGAGGCCTCCCTTTCTCCTTGACTTATAGATGGCCACCACCTAGCTCTGTCCTCACATGATCTTTGCTATGTGCATGTGCACACCTGGTGTCTCCTCCTCTTATAAAGCACACCAGTGCTGTTGGATTTGGGTCCTGCCCTTATGATCCTTACTTAACCTTAATTACCTTCTTAAAGGCTCTGTCTGCAAATACATTCACACTGGGGGTTAAGGCTTTACCCTATGAATTTGAGGGGGGACATAGTCAATCCATAACAGAGTCTAACTTTATTGTTTTTCATGTGAATATCCAGTTTAAAAGAAAGTTTAAAATTGAGTTGTTCATTTTCCAGGAGGATCTAGTATTAAATCGTGCAGTTAATCATGTGTCTTGATTATTGTTATCATTGACCATATGTAGGAAAAGTACTTGTGCATGCTCATGTAGGTATAAATGCATAATCAATATTATTAAGCACATGCCCAAAATGTAGTAGTACAATAGAATTTATCATCTGTAGTGCTGCTTGGAAATGATGCAATATATATGATATTTTTAAGAAGCAAATCTGTATTTTGCATGTGATTATAAAGTCCAGATCAATGAAAACAGTACTTTAAAAAAATTGTCCACATAAACTTCTTTAGCTTACTTTACAGAAGCCATGGAGTACATTTTATACTGTGTTTCTTGAGACATAATCATTTAAAATTGACCTGTTTGCTCAAGCTTAAGAATTTGTGGAGGTGATAATGTTCCAATTTTATTTAATTTTTAACTTTATTTTCTTTTCATAATGTATAGATGTGAAAATCACCATGAAAAACTTAGTGTATTTTGCTGGACTTGTAAGAAGTGTATCTGCCATCAGTGTGCACTTTGGGGAGGAATGGTGAGCAGAACAAATTCAGTATTTTTTTTTAGTTAGAGACTAGAAGGCACTGAAATACTTATTCAGATAGAAAATAGTGTCATTATGCTCTCGTAGAATGAAAATTAAAATGCATCTGCTTTATAGATGCTTTATTAAAGGTATCGTACTTTTATTCTAGAGAATCTTGTTTGTGCGGTTTAATGTAGGACATGGGCCCCTTACATAAATTTTTTAACCTCTAACACCTATGCAACATATCCTCTATTCATTTGCAAATCTTTTTGTTGTAGGATCCAGGTCACTTTTTTCATTAAAGGTCAGTTGATCGATGTACTGGCCAGGGTTTCCAATTTTAGTTCCTTTAAAATGGAGCAAGAACTTAGACACTTGTGAAACAACATTGAGTGCACATATCTAGATCTTATAATTATTTTCTGTTTTTTAGATTCTTTTTTCCAATTGAATTCAAGAGCAGTTTTTAAAGACAGTCTGCCATTATTGAGCTTGAAGCGTTGAAGTTAGTTTTCTTAGAAGCAGCTTTTTTATTTTAAAGTCATGTTCTGTTGTTTACTGAATACTTTTTTTTCTTGAGAAAAAATTTCGCACTCATTGCTGAGGCTGGAGTGCAATGGTGGGATCTCGGCTCACCACAACCTCTGCCTCCCGGGTCCAAGTGATTCTCCTGCCTCAGCCTCCCTAGTAGCTGGGATTACAGGCATGCGCCACCACCACGCCTGGCTAATTTTGTATTTTCAGTAGAGACAGGGTTTCTCCATGTTAGTCAGGCTGGTCCTGAACTCCCGACCTCGGGTGATCCACCTGCCTCAGCCTCCCAAAGTGCTGGGATTACAGGCGTGAGCCACCGTGCCTGGCCTCTGAATACTTAATTAAATGATCTCCTTACAATATTAAGTACAATTGGCATAAATAGGTTGAGAATAAATACAGTAGATTCTCAGTGAGGAAAAATAAGTGATGGGGGAAATGGAAGTGGGTAGGTATCTAGAGTTCCCATGAGAATTGATCATTCTGTGGACATCAGTCAGTATGTTTTACTGAGAAAGTGACAGGCCAGATTGGTTGAGTAGAGCTCAATTCAGAGAGCTTTCTGTTAGAATTTGAATATTAATGCACTGACTATAAAAAATTAAGAAGTTCTTACATTTAATACTTTAAATACATAGGTTTTGTAAGATAATAAGTAGAGATTTTTTTCTATACTTAAAGTGAACTTGTAAAAATCTACATCTTTTTTGGAGACAATAATGGGATACTTTGGCTAAATAAGACAATTCTAGTAAGAACTTATAGGAGGCTTCTTATATTAAAAATTTAATAATTCTGGTTACCAATCAAAATTGTTTTTAGGTAGTTAGCTATAAAAATTATTCTTTGAGTTGAATGCAACTGAATTTGTGAGGTTACTACAGAACTAGCCTTATATCTCTGTAGTAATTCTGTGGGATGGAAAATGGGTTCCTTGCTTTTGTTAATTTTGTATCCTGGGCTTTTTCTTCGAGCGTCTTTCTAATTCATTCACCTGTGGTAAAGACTAGGGATTTGATGATGAACATATCAAACAATTAATTACATATTTAATTGGTGTGATAAATTGGCGGAATAAATACAGAGAGCTGATGAGGATGCATAACTATAGCAGCTGATCCTGTAAATCTGAGCTGCAAAGGATGAGTAGGATTAAGACAAACTAAGATGGGAGAGGGAAGATGGAGAATTATTATTATTTGCTTTGTTTTGTTTTTTCGAGATAGAGTCTCACTCTGTCACCCAGGCTGGAGTGCAGTGGCATGATCTCAGCTCACTCCAACCTCCGCCTCCTGGGTTCAAGTGGTTCTCCAGCCTCAGCCTCCTGAGTAGCTGGGATTACAGGCGTGTGCCACCATGCCCAGCTAATTTTTATATTTTTTAGTAGAGATGGGGTTTCACTATATTGGCCAGGCTGATCTCGAACTCCTGACCTCAGGTGATCCACCCGCCTCAACCTCCCAAATTGCTAGTATTGCAGGCATGAGCCACCATGCCTGGCATTATTATTATTATTTTTGGTTTTTATTTTTTAAAAATTATTATAATTTTTTGGTACAAAGTCTCTTATCACCTGGGCTGGAGTACAGTGACCTGATCACAGCTCACTATAAGCTCTGCCTCCCAGGTTCAAGCAATTCTCATGTCTCAGCCTCTTGAGTAGCTGGGATTACAGGTGTGTGCCACCATGCGTGGCTACTTTTTGTATTTCAGTAGAGACGTGTTTTCGCCATGTTGGCCAGGCCAGTATTGAATTCCTTGGTTCAAGCGATCTGCCCTCCTTGGCCTCCCAAAGTACCGGGATTATAGGCATGAGCCACTCCCCCCAGCTGAGAATTATTTTTTAATAAGAGGGAGTAATTTTTGTAAAGTCCTGGTGTAAAGAAGTTTGAGGACATGGAAGAAAACTAGTGTTGCCTTAGAGAAGAGTGAGTGACTGATAAGGTTGTAGCAGATGATTTGGGCTGTGGCTAAAGATTTTGGTTCTTTTTAGTAAGTTAATTTCTAGTTAAATGAGTATTTTGCTAAAGCCCTTTATGTACAATGTTGAAAGAGTTCCTGCATGGACTAAGTGGTTTTAAGCAGGCACTGGCCTGCTTCAACAAAATTAATTAGCTAATAAGATAAAGTTCATTTGAAATATTTACCAGTTTATTAGTGTCCATAGAGTGTTACACAGGAATGTAAATGCAGATGAGATATGTGAAAGTATTCTAAAGCTACTCTAATTTAAATAGCATGGCGGACATACCTTTAAACCTTTGGCAGAAATTTATGAGCAACATGTCACTAAAGTGAATGAAGAGGTAGCCAAACTTCGTCGGCGTCTCATGGAACTGATCAGCTTAGTTCAAGAAGTGGTAAGACTACTACTAAAATATAATTATTTTGTTTTTAATCTGTAATGTATAATAATATATTTATATAATATAAGTTAATCAGATGTTGAAATCAAGATTTTCAAGATTTGTAAATTTGATAGGCTGTACCTATAGTCAAATCCCATAAATTTCAGAGTATCTGAGAAATTTCCATACAAAACCCCAGGCTTGTAAGGAAGCAGTTGGAGTCAGAGAATTACCACTTATGCAGAATTAGAAAATCAGTGAAATTAAAAAGTCCATTTGTTACAGAGTCAATAATTAACTTATTTTTTCTTTTTTTTGAGACGGAGTTTCACTCTTGTCCCCCAGGCTGGAGTGCAGTGGCAAGATCTCAGCTCACTGCAACCTCCACCTCCCGGGCTCAAGTGATTCTTCTGCCTCACCCTCCCCAGTGGCTGGGATTACAGGTACCTGCCACTATGCCTGGCTAATTTTTGTATTTTTAGTAGAGACAGGGTTTCACCATATTGGCCAGGCTGGTTTCAAACTCCTGACCTCATGATCCACCTGCCTTGGCCTCCCAAAGTGCTAGGATTACAGGCGTGAGCCACTGTGCCTGGCCCTAATAATTGACTTCTAAACAGAATCAATATTGACTTTTACAGTCATTCATTAAGTTATACACTCTTTGGATCTCCAGCTTTTGGGTGAGTTTCTTTTGCTAAGGAATGAACTATTTGTGATGTCCTGATTTAGAACTCCACAGAGTTGAAAGTGTAATATTTAACATTACTCTTTAGATATTGTATAGGTCAAACAGCTTTAGTGGGCTATTTATAATGTTATTTTTGTGAAAAAGTGTGATAAACCCCAAAGAATGAAATAGTAAGCATATTTTTAGAATATATTTTGTTTCAAGTTGGCAGAATGACAGTCATAAGTGAGGTTTATGGACCATTTCCTAACTTAAAATGAAGTTTGTGGACCATATGCTAAATTAAAAACATGCCTTCTTTGTTTTACCCCTTTAGGAATCAAGAACCAAGTGATCATTTATAACATTCTTTATGCGGAAAATTTGTGTTTTTGATTGCATGTCTGCCATTTTGAAATATAAGCGAGTTGGGTCATTTCCATTTGACCTTCCTCTACCTTTTTCCTATTATCTATTCTTGGCAATATTATAATGTGGTGCTTCTGTTTTTAAAATCTACCCCCTTAAAGTTATTCTTACCTGTTTATCTTCTAGGAAAGGAATGTAGAAGCTGTAAGAAATGCAAAAGATGAGCGTGTTCGGGAAATTAGGAATGCAGTGGAGATGATGATTGCACGGTTAGACACACAGCTGAAGAATAAACTTATAACGCTGATGGGTAAGTGTTTTTGTATGCTGCTGGAGTACCTGGTGCTTTCAGCTTCTTTGAGAATCAGTCTTTGAAGAGGAAGGGTGGTGATCCTAGGAAGGAATCTTGAGATTTTAGGCAACTCCATGTTGTTAAAGTTTAGACAGATAAATGTTTGACTTGTATTTAGAAATGGTAGGAGATAAAAGTTTTCATAGCCATTTGGATGAAAATCCAAGTTTTCATAGCCATTTGGATGAAAATCCTAATGACCACTGGGCATTATTGTTAGGTAGCTTTTTCTCCAAATCTAACAGAATTCCTTCTACTAATGTTCCATATCCTTTCCATCCATTTTCATTGAGGATGAAGAAACTGACATTTGTAAATACCAGCGTCATCCCCTGCCAGTTTTTTCTTAGAGATTTAAAGTCTTAGCTTTTGATTTCTAGTAGGGTTCATTTTATATATGTTTAATTATATTTATTGGTGATCTTTTGCTTTTCAAAGATTCCTTCATTCTTCTTTGATTGTGGAGCCTGGTATTAAACTTAAAATTTAAGTAAAAATTTGATCCAATGCTATAGTTTGTTTTGTTTGATTTGTTTTGGTGATCTTAGTCTTTCCAGTGTTTTGCTGACTGAAACCAGCTTTGCATTTTTTTTAGCATAGTCCAAAGTGAAATATATATACTTTAAATAAGGTGTGAACAAAGAATTTTTTTTTTGGCTATCTTGATTCTCCCAAGAGTTTAGCCATGTCTTTGTGTCATCCAAAATAATGATTTTATCCATTTTATTTTTAACTTTTAAAAAACGAGATGTAAATATCTTTGAGTTTGTATATTTGTATATCATTTCATAAATTGCTTTTCTATTATAATACTATACTATTTAATATCTGATTTTTAGTTTTTTTCCCACAGACCGAGCAATTAGACAAAACCTGTAGGTATTGATTATACTGGTCACAATGCCACTTAAAGATTTCATGTAAATGAAAATCGTAATTGTGCTTAGGTCCTCAGTTGCAGTCATACATGTAGGTGATCTTAGTTTTTCAGAACTTAGATAATATTTGAGATCCCTTTAAGTTCATTAAGCCATGTAGAGTGCTGGATGTTGATACATATTAGGACTTTAAAATTGAGGGGATCTTGAATGTTGATGTAATCTTCAGTAGTAGCCAAATACACATTTGCATATGGTGGTGTTTTTCTTGAGTGAATTTGTTCATTGCTTCATTTATTTAATTGAATCAACTAAAAGTTAAATAATACCACAGTACAGATCTCATAAGTTTATTAATTTTGCTACCTGTATAACTCCGTGAAATAACTTCCCTTTACAATAACTGAACTTGCCCTGCTTTTAAAAAAGTGGCTTTCAAATTATTTTTCATTATGAAAAATTATAATTTGTGATTTCCAAGATAGCTTTTATGATTAAATAGGATTCTAAGGATAAGAGGTGGGGAGAAGGATATTTTCAGGGTTAGTATATCTTTAGAATAGTCTCATAAGCCTCAGATTTTTAATTCATACCGTAATATCTGCCACTAATTTATTATTATTATTTTTAGTATTATTATTATTGAGACGGAGTCTCTCTCTGTCATCCAGGCTGGAGTGCAGTGGCACTATCTCAGCTCACTGCAACCTCCGCCTCTCGGGTTCCAGCAATTCTCCTGCCTCAGCCTCCCGAGTAGCTGGGACTACAGGCACGTGCCACCACCCCCGGCTAATTTTTTTTATTTTTAGTAGAGATGGGGGTTTCACCATGTTGGCCAGGCTGGTCTTGAACTCCTGACCTGAAGTGATCCACCTGCCCCCACTTCCCAAAGTGCTGGGATTACAAGTGTGAGCCACCACACCTGGCCTCTGCCACTAATTTTTTTTTTTTTTTTTTGAGATAGAGTCTCACTCTGTTGCCCAGGCTAGAGTGCAGTGGCAAGATCTCAGCTCACTGCAACCTCTGCTTCCCAGGTTCAAGCAATTCTTCTGCTTCAGCCTCCCAAGTAGCTGGAACTACAGGCGCATGCCACCACACCCTGATAATTTTTGTATTTTTAGTAGAGGCAGGGTTTTACCATATTGGCCAGGCTGGTCTCAAACTCCTGACCTTGTGATCCGCCTGCCTTGGCCTCCCAGAGTGCTAGGATTACAGGCGTGAGCCACCACCCCTGTCCTCTGCCGCTCATTTTTAAATTTAATTATGTACTGTAATGTGGTCCATAGGCTAATGTTTTAGGATTGTGGGATTTGGAGATAGTAGAATTTATGTCTGATAATACTAGATTCTAGCTAATACTTTATTTTAACTCTTTTTGCAATCTAGAAATTCTGAGTTTTATTTCAAAAATAAAAGTTCTAGGCTGAGGCGGGTGGATCTCTTGAGCCCAGGGGTTCAAGACCAGCCTGGGCAACATGGCGAAACCCCATCTCTACCAAAAAAAAAAAAAAAAAGAAGAAAAATTAGCGAGGTGCGATAGCATGCTCCTGTAGTCCCAACTACTCGGGAGGCTGAGGTGGGAGGATCACTTGAGCCTGAGAGGTGGAGGTTGCAGTGAGCCAAGATCACGCCACTATAATCCAGCCTGGGCGACAGAATCAGACCCTGTCTCAAAAAAAATAAATAAATAAATAAAGTCCGGGCTCCTTGGCTCATGCCTGTAATCCCAGCACTTTGGGAGGTCGAGGCAGGCAGATCATTCTCAGGTTGGGAGTTCGAGATCAGCCTGACCAACATGGAGAAACCCCATCTCTACTAAAAATACAAAATTAACCGGTCATGGTGGCACATGCCTGTAATCCCAGCTACTCAGGAGGCTGAGGCGGGAGAATCACTTGAACCCGAGAGGCGGAGGTTGCGGCGAGCTGAGTTGGCGCCATTGCATTCCAGCCTGGGCAACAAGAGTGAAACCCCATCTCAAAAAATAAATAAAATGAAAGTTCTACCTATTAAATGTTTTTTCTTATCAAATAACACAACAGATTGATAAAACTTTTGCTATCCTCATGGATATACTTCCAGTTTTTCAAATTTTGGGTTTATAAAGAAAATGGCCTGATTTGGTAAGCATACCTATCTTCTTTTTGTTTAAAAACATGTAAAGCATTTTCTTCCTTTTCTGTAATGATAATTTTTTTGTTTGTAATTTGAGACAGGGTCTCACTCTGTTGCCCAGGCAGCACTGCAGTGGTGCGATCAAGGCTCACTGCATGACTACATGCAGCCTTGACCACCTGGACTCAAGCGATTCTCGTGCCTCAGCCTCTTGAGTAACGGGGACTGCAGGCATGCACCGCCACTCTTGGCTAATTTTTAATTTTTTTGTAGGGACTGAGTCTTACCATGTTGCCTAGGCTGGTCTCAAATACCTAGGCTCAAGTTATCCTCTTGCTTTGGCCTCCCAAAGTGCTGGGATTACAGGCATGAGCCACCGACCCCCGGCAATAATAATTTGTTTATCCTTTTCTGTCTCCAACTCTTTGAGATTATTCACCTCTATGGGAATTTTTTTAAACAGGTCCTTGTATATTCGCAGGACAGACCTTTTGCTGACATTTAACCTAAACATCTGGCCCACTTTGTATTCTCTGTTAAGCCACAGTTAAATTTGGTGAAAAATTATTTCAGAATAACTGACTGAATGAAATTCATGTTATTGCTTCTTCCCAAGGGAATATGAAAATCTAGAAAAGTAAATTTTTTTTTTTTTTTTTTTTTTTTTTGAGACGGAGTCTCGCTCTGTCATCCAGGCTGGAGTGCAGTGGCCCGCTCTCTGCTCACTGCAAGCTCCGCCTCCCGGGTTCGCGCAATTCTCCTGCCTCAGCCTCCCGAGCAGCTGGGACTACAGGCGCCCACCACCTCGCCCGGCTTATTTTTTTGTATTTTTAGTAGAGACGGGGTTTCACCATGTTAGCCAGGATGGTCTCGATCTCGTAATCCCAGCACTTTGGGAGGCCGAGACGGGCGGATCACGAGGTCAGGAGATAGAAAAGTAAATTTTTTGTGTAAAGTATATTGTCATTGCACATTTCATTTCTTAGATGAATTCAGTCTAAGTGATAATCTTCTCTAAAACTAATTAGAATTGGTTCTGAAGTTCCATTTTCAAGGCTACTATAATATTCAACCTGTTAAAGTTGAATGAGAATTTTTAGGGTAGCTGTAATGAGGAATTTTTGCTTACTTGAAGTGTATTTCTTGTTATTAAATATGTTCATTGGAAGTTAATTTCATTCTTAAACCAGTAATGAGCCCAAGTGTTGATGATTCACTATTTTTAATCAGGTCAGAAGACATCTCTAACCCAAGAAACAGAACTTTTGGAATCCTTACTTCAGGAAGTGGAGCACCAGGTGATGAAATATTAAATGTAATGAAATAGTCTTTATCCTTTTTTCTCTGTATACTATAAAAATTTTGGTTTTTTTTTTGACAGAGATTATCTGTTTGAGATCAAAAGATCTGTTGATCTTTGTGTTATAATGGAGATTTTTATGAAATAGGAATCAGCTGATTCTTCTCAAGTTTTTTCTTCGTGTTTGGGAACCGCATTAGAACTATATTCTGCTTTGTAAGAACAGAATTGTTTCCATAGAAATCTGAATGTATAAGAGGTTAAAATCTCCCCACACTGTGGGGATATTATTGCCAATTACTTTACATCTAGTGATTATTACACTAAAGTTTAGCATTTTTATTTATTGAGGAAATATTAAGTCCTAAATAGATAGAGGCATCATTGTAAATATTGGTGATACAGCAGTGAACAAAATGACAAAATTCTGTCCTCATAGAGTTTATATTTTAGATTAGAGTGGGTGAATATGAAGTATATAGTAAATGAGTACATAAAATATATAGTGTTGCATAAGTATTTGATATATTCACTTGTCTGGAATTTGCTTTTTGTAATTTCTCTCTATGCCTTATACACAGCTGTCTCCTGAGATTTTTATCTTAATCATTCTGGGGACTCCCTTGACATCTTTCTTGTGTTGAATCCCATGTTTCCTGATTCCTCTGGTATCTACTTTCTTGGTTTTCCTGTTTTGTTTTAATATCTCACTTCCCTCAGTAGCTTTCCAGGAAGGGTAATCAGAACACATTTTTCTTGACTGCATTGTCTGGAAATATTTTTATTTTATTTTTGTACTTGATTGACAATTTAGCTGGTAGAATTCAGCACATAAATATTTACTAAATACTGTTATTTTTCTTCATTATCCCCAATCTTTTTTCCTTTTCCTTTTTACACACATACATGTATATCCGTGTGGTATTGGCCCCAGGACCTTTATGGATACCAAAATCCTCAGATACTCAAGTCCCTTATATAAAATGGCATAGTATTCGCATGTAACCTATACACATCTCCCATATACAGATGTGTCAAATTATGACCTTTTGGTCAATGACAGACTGCATATGTGACAATGGTCCCATAAGATTAAAATGGAGCTGAAATATTTCTGTTGCCTAGTGGTGATGTCTAATGACATCATAGCCATTGTAATGTAGTAGCACAAAGCATTAATCACGTGTTTATGGTAATTCTGGTGTAAACAAACATACTGTGCTGCTAGTTGTATAAAAATATAACACACATAATTATGTATAGTATGTAATACTTGATAAGTATGATAAACAACTATGCTACTGGTTTATGTATTTACTATACCATACCATTCATTATTCTAGAATATATTCTAGTGTTTACTCCTACTTTTTTAAAAAAAGTTGTCTATATTCCAGAAGAAGACATTGTTAGCATTGTAGATCCATAGATGCTAGTACCCCTGAAGACCTTTCAATGGGATAAGATGTGGAGGTGGAAGGTGGTGATACTGATGATCCTGACCATGTGTAGGCCTAGGCCATTGTCTTAGTTTTTAACAAAACAGTATTGAGATTGGGTGTACACCTGTAGTCCCAGCTACTCAGGAAGCTGAGGTGGGAGGATTGCCTTAGCCCGGGAATTCAAGGCTGCAGTGTGCTGTGATTGTACCTGTGAAAAGCCACTGCACTCGCCTGAGAAGTATAGCAAGACCTATCTGTTTAAAAAAGTAAACAAATAGGCCGGGCGTGGTGGCTCATGCCTGTAATCTCTGTACTTTCAGAGGCCAAGGTGGGCAGATAATTGAGTGAGTTCAAGATCAGCCTGGGCAAAATGGCGAAACTCCGTCTCTACTAAAAATACAAAACTTAGCTGGGTGAGGTGGCACATGCCTGTAGTCCCAGCCACTTGGGAGATTGAGGCATGAAAATTACTTGAACCCGGGAGGCGGAGGCTTGCATTGAGCCGAGATCGTGTCACCGCACTCCAGCCGGGGCGACAGAGTGAGACCCTGTCTCAAAAAAAAAAGAAAAAAAAAGTAAATAATATTAACTGAAAAATGTAGGCTACATGGTGATATAGCCTGTTAGTGTTTATGTAAAGTTTGAAAACATTCAAAACATTGTTTATGGATGTATGTACACACATAGTAATTGCAGAACCACATGTATGGTGATAATAAACTTCTGTTGAAGGGAACAAGTTGCTTTTGGAAGAAATGGTGTCAAGGAAGGATATACACAGTAAGCATTCAATTAATATAAGTTAAAATTTTTTGTATTATGTGTGTATGTATGTACATATACACAGTGATTTTAAGCATACCTTGAAAATCTTAAGTAAACAGTTCAAATAACTTTAGATCACTTTATGTAAATTGTTCAAAAAACCGTAATGTCTTGGGCAATGCCTGACACATAATAATATGAATGACAAAATATGCAGCTGTTTGTTGTTTTCTGCTGTTACCACTTACCGTTACGTCATTGATTGATGCAGTAACTCAAACATGATATCATTATTCTTTGTAACTATAAACTTTGATATATAGGATATGATATATGATACTTTTTTTTTTTCTTAAGACAGAGTTTTGCCCTGTCACCCAGGCTGGAGTGCAGTGGCGTGATCTCAGCTCACTGTAACCTCCACCTCCTGGGTTCAAGCAATTCTTGTGCCTCAGCCTCCTGAGTAGCTGGGACTATAGGCACACGCCACCACGCTGAGCTAATTGTTGTATTTTTAGTAGAGATGGAGTTTCACTGTGTTGGCCGGGCCTTGAACTGACCTCAAGTGATCCACTCGCCTCAGCCTCCCAAAGTCCTGGGATTACAGGTGTGAGCCACTGTGCCCAGCCATATGATACATTATTTTTGGTGAGCCATAAGCAACTGTTATTTAAAAGATATAAACTCAACTGTAGGTGGGTTTTATGAATATCATTCATATGGCATTTGATAGTATATTAGTTTGCTAGACCTGTCATAACAAAATACCAGTGACTGTGGGACTTAAACGTAGAAATTTGTTTTCTCATTATTCTAGGAACTGGAAGTGTAAGATTCAGGTGTTGGCAGGTTTTGTTTCTTCTGAGGTCTCTCTCCTTGACCTGTAAACAACTGCCTTCTTACTGTGTCCTCATGTGGACTTTTCTGTGTGATTGTGCAGCCCTAGTGTCTCTTCTTCTTAATAAGGACACCAGTCATGTTAGATTAAGGCTCTACCCCAGTGGCCTCATTTTAACATAATCACCTCTTTAAAGATTATCTCCAAATAGATTGAGGTACTGAAGGTTGAGCCTGCAGCATATAAATTAATGGAGGAAAGGGGCACAAAATTCAGCACATGACAGATAGTTTACAAAGCTTTTTCACTATAGTTTCATAATCCTTATAACAAACTTAATGAAGTAAGCAGTGGTGGATATTACTATTTTATTTTCGTATGTAAACAGACTCAGAGTCGTGTAATTAGTGGCAGAACTAGGACTTAACTTCAAACTGGTTTTTTTGAAGAAAAAATTAGTAGTCTTGTCTTTTATCTACCATGATTATGTTACTGAAGTGAGATTTGTTACTTTTTCCCAAAGTAGTGTTTCCCAAATTAGTATCAGATGGTTTGTGTGTGTGCGTGTGTGTGTGTACACACGGGTGTATGTGTGTACGTTTTGTATTCTGTTACCTAGAACACAACCTGAGAAATGATTGCTTTTAAAAGCTTTCAACTTGGCCGGGCACGGTGGCTCACGCCTGTAATCCCAGCAGTTTGGGAGGCTGAGGCGGGTGGATCACGAGGTCAGGAGTTCAAGACCAGCATAACCAACATGGAGAAACCCAGTCTCTACTAAAAAATACAAAAATTAACCGGGTGTGGTGGCACATACCTGTAATCCCAGCTATTCAAGAGGCTGAGGCAGGAGAATTGCTTGAACCCAGGAGGCGGAGGTTGCAGTGAGCCGAGATCGCGCCACTGCACTCCAGCCTGGGTGACAGCGAGACACTGTCTCAAAAAAAAAAAAAGAAAAGAAAAGCTTTCAACTTACAGGTTTGTTCATTAATATATTCATAAGAACTTAACTGTACCAGCCTGAAAATACATTTGTACTTGCTTAAAACCTCACTTATCCTAAAATGTAAGGAGAGAAAAATGCATTAATATTAAGTATATTCAGTGACTTTACTAAAATGTAAGGAGAGAAAATGCATTAATATTAAGTATACTTATTCAGTGACTTTACTGTTAGAATATTATAGAAATAAACTTAGATTCTTTGTAGATTCTTAATTCTCAAGCTCACTTTGAGTTATTTTTCTCAGTTTTTTCAGTTTATAATCAGAATAATTTGTAATTAAGAATTTTGGAGTGGCAGTGAATAGTGATTTTGTTTGTTCAGATAATTTTTTTCTTCACACAGTTGCGGTCTTGTAGTAAGAGTGAGTTGATATCTAAGAGCTCAGAGATCCTTATGATGTTTCAGCAAGTTCATCGGAAGCCCATGGCATCTTTTGTTACCACTCCTGTTCCACCAGACTTTACCAGGTATGACACAGTTTTTAATTTCATTTTCATTTGAAATTTATGTGGAAATGCATATACTTTTTTCAAAAGAATGTTTTTTTTTTTTTTTAAATGCCATCTCTCTGTCTCTCTTTTCTTTTATAGCTGGGGTCTCACTTGTTGCCCAGGCTGGTCTCAAACTCCTGGACTCAAGTAATCTTCCCACCTTGACCTCTCAAATTACCAGAGATCATAGACATGAGCCACCACACTTGGCTACTCCATAGCTTTTTAAGGTCTTGTTATAATGGAGTGGTCTGGTGAGCTCTGTTTTATACATACAAATCTAGTTCTCCTGAAAAGTCTCACAGACTTACACTTTTGACTGTTAAGAGAAAATGATAATGAACTAGGAATCATTTTTTTTCCAAGAGCTCCATCTTCCATAGTATAGAAAAAAATAATTGATTACATTAGCTTCATCAGTGTACCTTTTAAATTAAACTATATCTTCTAACACAAAACTCAGAAACTGATGAAATGCCAAAAGAATTTGAAGGTGATGCCATGTTACCTCCAGATCCTAAAAGATAGAGAGAGGAAATAATTATGGCAAAAAGTAACCTAGTTTTCGTCTTGGGCTAAACCTTAGAATTTTTCTGAACAGCATATTCCTTCAAGCATGTTTGTAATTATTCTGTGGTATTAGACTGGTGGTTTCTGACTAGCTGTTGGAATCACTTGGGATTTGGCTGAAAATTAATCAGTGCTGGGTCATACCATACCCTAGGCCATTTGAAAGAAAATCTTTGGGTGTATATTAGTCTACTTGGGCTGCCATAACAAAATACCACATACTGAGTGCCTTAAACAACAGAAATGTGTTTTCTCACAGTTTGAGAGACAAGAATTCCAAGATCAGCATGTCAGAAAATTCACTTTTTTGCTTCAGCTTGCAGACAGCTGCCTTCTTTCTGTGTCCTCACCTGACCTTTTCTCTGTTCTTGCTTGGAGAGAGATCAGTCTCTGGTGTCTCTTTCTCTTTTTATGAGGCCACAAGCCTTATTGTATTAGACCCACTATTATCAACTCATTTAGCCTTAATTATCTTCCTAGAGGCCCTATCTATAGACACAATCACATTGGGGGTTAAGGATTTAACATGGGAATTTTGGGAGAGACAATTAAGCCTGTGACATTGGGTTCAAATGGACATTTTCAGTTTGTTCTTTTAAAATCTCATTAGCTTATTCTAAGATGAGGGGTGAAGCCACTGCTTCAGATAAATATTTTGGTGTGACAGGCTTTATCTTATAGAGATGACTTATGGAATACTATCAAGTTTTCCTACCATGGTGGGGGCTGTGGCACATTTAGAAAACAGCCTTTGTTATAAAAATGTTCATATGTTGAACTGCCTTTTCTTTTTCTTCTGATATGTGATGCCCTCTGATGACCACAGAGCATTCATTGTACTATTTTATTTTTTAATTTATTATTTTATTTACTTATTATTATTTATACTCTGTCGCACTCTGTTGTCCAGGCTGGAATGCAGTGGCGTGATCTCAGCTCACTGCAACCTCCACCTCCCGGATTCAAGCAGTTCTTACACCTCAGCCTCCTGGGTAGCTGGGAATATAGGCATGCACCACCATGCCCGGCTAAGTTTTGTATTTTTAGTAGAGATGGAATTTCTCCATGTTGGCCAGGCTGGTCTCAAACTCCTGACCTCAAGTGATTTGCCTGCCTCAACCTCCTGAAGTGCTGGAGATTATAGGTGTGAGCCACCATGCCTGGCCGCATTCATTGTACTAGAGTATATCGTTTAAGCCAGGGCTTTTCAATCTTGGCATTGTTGACATTTTGAGCAGAATAATTATTTGTGGGGTGGGGTGAGCTTTCCTGTGTTTCATAGGATATTTAGCAGTATCCCAGTAGTACTCCCCACCCCACCACCTTGCAGTTACGACAAAAATGTTTCCAGACAGTGCCAAATGTCCATGGGGACAAAATCACCCCTGGTTGAGAATCACTGTTATAAGCCCTTCTTAATCGTTATAGATGCCACAGTCCTATAAACAGAAGGACAAAGTTTTTCTGACAGCTAGAACTCCGGTGGTTCTCATTGACCAGTAGAAGTCTTCCTTTCTTTCTGATTAACAACCTTATAAAATATTCATATATTTTTAAAGCACTGACTTTTTTGTTTAAATCTCTATTTCTGAATGAAAGCACTCAATATTATTAAAAGGACTAGGTTTTTGCTGTCATTAAGTAGACTTGGTTGAAGAATGTTCACCAAAATCCCTAGGATGCCTCACAGATAGTGTGGTCAGCTATTTCAGTTTTCAAGATGTTTTCTGAACCATTTCATCACTTGTGGAATGAAACAGATTTTGACCTAAGGGTCATATATAAAAATTAGTGTTTTTCAATTCAAAGTGTAGTGCATGGATGACCTAAGTCACAGCTATGTGTGGCATTTGTCTGAAATGCAAATTCCCAGGCCAGCTTTCCCAGAATCTTTAGAGGTGGTATTCAGAAATGTGTCTTGAGCACTGTAAGTAATAATAATGCACTAAAGTTTGGGAACCACTGATGGATGTAAATTCCCATTCTTATACCACTTTCAGCAGCTCATCAGGCAGGCAACAATGCTCACTAGTCTGTTAATTAAGCACTTTTAGGGCCTTCTCTCTTTCTCCAGTAATGCTCACTACCTTATTGGAAACTTTGGCTTTTAGTTAATTCTCATTAGAAACCCATTTTATTAGTTGCAACATACAGGAAAAGAGGGCCAAATAAGAAAGGCCAGCATTCGTGACGTTAAGTTACACACCAAAGTTTAGATGTGCAAAGCAGTGGTATTTCTATTGCTTTTAGTTCCATCAGTTAGTAATTGGTGATGGAGCCACAATGGAGAAGAAAAGGTCACTAAATCAGTGAAGTGTTATTTATTAAAGACCATGTGCCCAATATTGTTGCAGGTGCTGCATGGGAGAAGAGGAACTAAAAATCTTACTGTGGGCCGGGCGCAGTGGCTTACATCTGTAACCACAGCACTTTGAGAGGCTGAGGCAGGCAGATCACCTGAGGTCAGGAGTTTGAGACCAGCCTGACCAACATGGAAAAACCCCATCTCTACTAATAATAAAAAATTAGCCAGGCGTGGTGGCGCATGCCTGTGATCCCAGCTACTCAGGAGGCAGAGGCAGAAAAGAAAAAAAAAAAGATAAAATAGTATAGCTCTCGGTTCATAGAGAGTTTTATGCTTCAGGGAGAAATAGTCAAGTTGGTAAGGAGAACCAGTTTTTATATAACTCAGGAGTCTTATTTCCTTAAGGAAAAAATGGATACTTGTGGTTCTCCCTTTTTTCCCTTTGTTCATGAAGTTATGATGAGAGGTTACTGGTCTGAAGATTTGCAGATCAGTGACTTCCAGATTACTGGGCTAGAGATGGTTTGAGACTAGTTTCCCATATTCTTTGAAGACAAAGATTCACTGACACCATCATGAGATGAATCCAGTCATCATAAAGACCAGAGCAGTCTACACTTCTGAAAGAGGAGGAGAAAATTTTAAAACTATGAAAAGATAAAGCAGTGCCTCATCTGCAGCCACAGAATGGTAACATCAGTATGACTGAAGATAACCTCTAAATGAATGAGCATAATATGGAGAGGTGGTGGTAGAATTAGATGGCCTAGCAGTAGCAATAGCTTTGTGTGTAAATATAAAGAATGCAAAATCGGTGAGCCAAGATCACGCCACTGCACTCCAGCCTGTGTCACAGAGCAGGACTCCGTCTCAAAAAAAAAAAAAAAAAAAAAGCAAAATAATTTCTTTTGCGAAAGAAATTTTTGAGCAAATATTTCCAACTCTATGAATCTGCCAGCAAGTATTTGTAAATATTCATTCAGTGAATATATATGCCAGCTATATTTTAGGCATGTGTTAAATGCTAGCAGTAAGCATAATACAGAGCTCTTTGGATTTATAATTATGATTTAGAAAAACAGATTATTGGAACGGTAATAAAATTAATGTGGTAACTGGTGATAGGGGAAGTAAGTATCCTGTTTAATGCTGCCCCATACCACTAATTTGTCATACTATTTGTGTCCAAAAGGTTTTCCATAGGAAAATGTACATATGTGAAAGTATATCACAGTACCAGTTTTCTATGCTCTGAATATGGTCATTTTCTCTTAGCAAGTGAGACTAGGGTAAACTGGACTGTACCCTCTTGGTTCATGAGTATTAGTAACTTGTGCTTTTTAGCCTGAAAGCTTTCTACTTAACCATTCTGAGTTGAAAATGGCATCTCCTGTTGTTTATTTTGTGTTCTGCTGAAGTCTTTTGACCCTTAATGGCCAATAAAATATAATAATGATAGTCTGGACTTAGAGCAGAAATAACAGTAACAACAACACAGGAAATAAATCACACTGAACGTGGCAGAAGAAATAGTATGCAGATTAGCAGGCAACTGGGGATTGATTAAAGTCTTTGCATGTGGAGGATATTCTGTACTTGGTAAGAGACGTGATTGAAAGTTGCACAAAATTACAAAAGCATGTCAAATTTGAAGACTATACTGGTAAAGCTCCCTTAGAGCTCTTACTATGTTTATGGTTCTAGAAAGGCTTCCTGGGCACTAATTGCATTGGCCCTGCTAAATGGGGTTTGTGTATATTGAGTGCTAGGAGATCGTACAATGGGAAGACCTTAGAGTAAACCTCCAAGAGCATGTGACTTCTAATCTGTTATCTGAAAAGATAGTAAGGGTTAACCAGGCAAAAGGATATGGGGATGAGTCTTCTAAGGAAGGATAACAACTGACTAGGGATATCATAGGGATTCTTGACATAGTCAATTTGGATAGTAGCTATACAGTTAATCACAGGGCAAAGTACATCTACTTACCGTTTAGAAGATGTGACCTATTTAGCTATACGTACTTACACTAAAATAAAGAATTATTTATCTATATTGTATTGCAAGCCACTAATTTCTTTAGACACTATCACAGTGTGGCAGTGCTGTAGGTGTATCTTTTATCTTGTTTTGATAATAACCAAAATTATGATGAATTGAACTTTAGAAAATATACCTGAAGATGTGGTGAAACGGTTTGCAGTTTATTGTTTTGGTAAATTTGTAATTTTATATATCAAATTCATAACTCTGTATTAAAACTGTATGATAGTCTTTTTCATAGTGTTTTCATGAATTTTGAGGTGTTCTAATGACAGTGTACAAACCATCCACATGATTAAAGGTAGTTAGCAGCAAAGCGACGTTTAGTCCATACTGTGATCATAATACAGTTCTCTTTGAAGAAGATTGGATGGGACTAAAGTTGCTTGAAGTAGTTTTGACTTGCCAAGAAAGTGTTAGTGTGCTAGTCCCTCACAGTTGCCCCTTAGGTAATGAGGTGTTCATCCTATAAAAATGTATAGATTTATTTACTAGTAAATAGTTTCAAAGTATTTGAAGTCTGTTAATATTTCCCATAATTCATTCCAAAAAAGGAACTTTGGGGATTAACTGTGATATTGCTGACTGTTAGTTCTTTTCATTTTTTAAAGCATGTTTGTATCTGTTTCATAATTCAGATACACACCCTAAGTGTCAATTTCTTTTTCCCATTTCTATCAGTACTTTTAAAGTGTATTTCTAGTACTTACTTTAATAATTAATTACATAATGTATTGCCTTTTTTAAGGGAAAAAAACTTTTATAAAATATTTATTTCTTGATTTATTGATTGAGACAGAGTTTGGCTCTGTTGCCTTCACTGGAGTGTGGTAGTGCAATCTCTATTCACCGCAACCTCCGCCTCTAGGGTTCAAGCGATTCTCGTGCCTCAGCTTCCCGGGTAGCTGGGATTGCAGGGGCACACCACTATATCTGGGTAATTTTTGTGTATTTTTTATAGAGATAGGGTTTCACCATGTTGGCCATGCTGGTCTTGAGCTCCCGACCTCAGGTGATCCACCCACCTTGGCCTCCCAGAGTGCTGGGATTATAGGCGTGAGCCACCTCGCCCAGCCAAAAAACTTTTATAAAGTATTTGTATTTCTGATTTAATTGCATACATGATGGTTTTATGAAGTCATTTGATTTAATGTTATGTTCAATAAAGATTTAAAAATATTTCTTAGATTTTAGTTTAATAAAGTTTTTAAGATACTACTGAGGGACTTGGTTTTTTTAGGTAAATGGAATTTTAAACATATAAGCTACATAATTATTTTTGTCTTTGCTTTCTTTTAGTGAATTAGTGCCATCTTATGATTCAGCTACTTTTGTTTTAGAGAATTTCAGGTAAGAGTTTTTTTGACAATTCTGGTTTTTTGTAGGTGTATATAAGGAAGAGCCAGGAAGGTATTCTTTGGTAAGACAGTAATCTAGTGAACTGTGTCACTCACTTTAGAAGTCTTAGAAGAATAAGTTTCGTATTAGAAACATAGAGATTATTTGTGCTGGATTTTATTGTATCTTTAGACTGACTGCTTCTCTAGTCTGGGAAAAGGAACCTTTTCTTTTTATTTTGAGACAGGGTTTTGCTCTGTCACCCAGGCTGGAGTGCAGTGGCATGATCATTGCTCACTGCAGCCTCAACCTCCTGGGCTGCAGCAATCCTCACACCTCACCCTCCCAAGTAACTGGGACTACAAGCATGTGCCACCACACAGATGGGGTCTCACTGTTTCCTAGGCTGGTCTCAAATTCCTGGGCTCCAGTGATTCTCCCAACTCAGCCTCTCAAAGTGCTGGAATTATAGACATTAGCTGTGGTGGCCAAAGTGATTATACTGCCCAAAGTGAGGAACCATTTTAAATAAGAGAGATCACTTAGCTTTGGCTAAGGTGAGGGGCCGAACAGTTAGAGGTTAATGAGCCCCCACTTATCCATCGTCAGAAATAAAAGTAGTGGGAAGAACTCCATTGAGATCCATTTATCTCAGCTCAAAGTGAAGAATTGTGGATAGGGGCCATTATTGTAAGAAATTTGTCAGTTATGTGTTAATTTTGTTCGCTTTTACTACTTTTTCTCTAAGATCAGAATGAGGATCATAACATGCAAAGGTTCTTAGCAATTTGTCTTTGAGGGCAGCATGGAAATGGAAACAAGTAATATAAGGTCTTCAGGAGAGAAACTCCAAATAATAGGCAAAGGCCATCAAAATAAGGCCACACTGGGCAGGACATGGTGGCTCATGCTTGTAATTCCAGCACTTTGGGAGGCCGAGGCAGGTGGATCATCTGAGGTCAGGAGTTCAAGACCAGCCTGGCCAACATGATGAAACCCCGTCTCTACTAAAAATACAAAAATAAGTTGGGCGTGGTGGTGGGCGTCTGTAATCCCAGCTACTTGGGAGGCTGAGGCAGGAGAATCGCTTGAAACCGGGAGGTGGAGGTTGCAGTGAGCCGAGATTGTGCCACTGTGCTTCAGCCTGGGCAACAAGAGCAAAACTCTGTCTCGAAAAAAAAAGAAAAGCCACACAGAATTTATCCCTCTTCCCATTTAATTTGTCTTTTCTCATGGGATACTTTTGTGGCTAAAACATAGTCTTTCTGAGGTTTTTCCCACATTTATTAAGGTTTAGTGTACTCTCGTTTTTCAATGTTAAAAGATGATTATACTGCAGAGAAGTGAGGAAGAAACCTTCTGGGTTTTATTTTTAATGGTGAAAGACTGCTTGTTGAAGCATTAATTAAATTTGGGAGACTTAGTGATATATTCCTTTTCCCTTAAATGTCACAATTTTGAGGGTTTTTTTTTCCCCTGAAACTTAAAAGATATTGCTGAATATTTCAGTATTTTTAAATTCTCTTTATTTCAGAATGTAAGCATATCTAAACTTTTACAGTGGAATTTTGACCTGATCAGTCACCTTGTTATTTGTCTAAGATTTCAAATATGTAACAAAGAAACTGGTTGGTCTTTCTTTTTGCCTGTTGCCATTTCACAACAGTTTTGATCTTGGTATTTGGTTGGTTTTCTTTTTCGTTAGCACTTTGCGTCAGAGAGCAGATCCTGTTTACAGTCCACCTCTTCAAGTTTCAGGACTTTGCTGGAGATTAAAAGTTTACCCAGTAAGTTTTTGATGTTTCTAATAAAGTTTGAAACCAATGTCTTTCTTTCAGAGTTCTGTAGTACACTAGTTTGATTACTGAGAACTGTTAACTCTTCTTATTTTTTGTTCCATATGCTGTCCTTGTTCCCTGTTCCCCTTCTCCCTCCATGTTAGACAACTGTTTGTCCTCACCTAGTTCTCTAATATATTCTGTTGGAAGGCCTGTTGGAAACAATATTCCCTGAGTTCTCATATGTTGAAAACAGTTTTTGCCCTTTATATTCTAAGGCTAGTATTGCTGGGTATAAAATCCTTGGCTCATATTTTGTTTCATTGGGTATCTTTAATATGCAATTCCATTTTCTTTAGGAAAGGTGTGATAATAAACTATTTTTCTTTACTTTTAAAGATGTTTGGTGATATTACCTAGATGCTAAATAATCTTTTTGAGTCCAGTAATTTACTATTACACATTTTAGTCCTCCTGGGTTAGTATGCTTAGTTACACACTAAAGTCTTTCAATATGCAGTTTCAGATTTTTTTTTTTAAGAAAAGTTTTGTATAATGGGATTATACAATAATATATAATCTTTTGTGTCTGGCTTTATTCACCTAGCTGATGATTCATTTATTCATTGATATCTATTGAGTGATTATCATATCAAGCCTCAAAAGTTGCCTCAGGTCATTTCAAGCAAGGTAGACCAAAAATGAAGGGGTTAATAGTACTTGTACCCCTCTGTAGTCATGTCCCAGTAGACACTGTAGATGTATAAGGATCTCTGTTCTCAGCCTTCATTGTCTCATTGGGGGAACAGATGTTTAAACAAGTAGTTATAATAAATGTGATTCTTTTAAAACATAGACACCTGAAGTACTAGGGCAATACATAGGAAGTAATTATCTCTTTTTTTAAAAGAGTCTTGCCCAATTAAACAAAAAGGGAGTAATTATCTTTATAAAAATAAAATCTGTAGTAGAGATTTAAACAACTTCTCAATCTCTAGACAGAATCTTATATGGAATTCTGACATTAAAATCATACAGAAATTGTATTTAATTACTTTCAGCATAGGGTATTACCTTTTTGTATGTTGGTCTTAAAAATTAATTTTTGGTTTAAAATTTTTTTTTGCCTCATTTCTAATGAAATTATTTTTCCCATTAGGGTCTTGGTTTTTTGTTAAAGTTGATTTGTAAGAGTTCTATATATGTTAAGACTCTTAACCTTTCTCATGGTTGTTGATATTTCCCTTCATTTCTGTGCCTTGGTAGTTTTGCTTTTTTTTAATGCACAGAAGTTTAAAGTTGTTAAGAAGTCAAATCTATTGGTGTTTTTTTTTTTTTTTTATTTCTTCCATTGCTTTGAGGCTTAGAAGTATTTCTCAATCTAGATATCAGATGTTAATCTGCATTTTGTTTTATTGTGGCTTAATTTTTTTTACACTTCAACTGATTATTCTTCTTTTAGGATGGAAATGGAGTTGTGCGAGGTTACTACTTATCTGTGTTTCTGGAACTCTCAGCTGGCTTGCCTGAAACTTCTAAGTAAGAAGTGTAATTAAATAACAACCTTAATGTGCGTTTACATACATTCCCCCTAGCAATTTTTGTTAATTTTTATTTTTGTTAATTACTGTATTGGTGTATCTGTTAAGATGTAGAGTAATATGAAATTGTTGGCATCATAGGATGGTATCGATTGGCAGTTCTCAAACTGTTTGGTCTCATACTCTTAAAATTATTGGGAACCCCAAAGAGTGTTTGTTTATATGGATTACATATATTGTTATTTTCTGAGTTGGAACTTAAAACTGAAAAAAAATTATATAAAATTTTAATTCGCTTTTGAGGTAACAACAAGCCTGTTGCATACTAACATAAATAACATTTTTAAATGAAAAGTAACTATTTTCCTAAAAAAATATATTTTTAAGAAAACTTGTATTGCTTTGTGTTTTTGGAAATCTCTTTACTATCTGGCTTAAAAGAAGACAGCTGGATTCTCATGTCTGTTTTTATATTCAGTTTTTTAAAAATATCATTTTGATTGAAACACATGTATAAAATCTGGCTGCAGAGTTCTACGACCATCACCAACATCTAATTTTATAACATTCTATTTACGCCGCAAGGAATCCCTGTACTCATTATCTGTCACTTCCCATTACCCCTTTCCCTCAGTCCCTGAGAACCACAAATGTGCTTTTTGTCAAGGAGGAATATTTTTTAAAGTGGTTTTAGATAATTGTGGATCGTCTTTGATGTTACATCCAAACTGAACAAGTAGTAGGTTGTTAAATGTTATTTATAATGTGGGATCTGGAATCATATTAATGATTTTTTTTTTTAACCCTGTTACATGAAATCTGTTAGTTTGGTATGGAATGTCTGCTTTCAGCTAACATGAATCAAGAGGGATGAGATCTACGCATTTTCTTGCAACAACCAAAAAAAACTTGATGAAACATTTTCTAGACACTGGACATGGTGGTAACAAATGAAAACAGTCCCTGAGAGATGAAAAACACAAACCAGCTCTGTGATTTCTCCAGCTTACAGCCTTGAGAGAGTTTTTAGGCTGCAACACAGGGAGGAGCTGGGTTCTACTGAGGTAGAACCTGGCAGACTTAGTTGAGGGGATAGTGCTGAGAGTCTAGAAAGGACAATGCAGCTAGAGCGCATTGAACAAAATACCAGAGAGGAGAAAGCTGCAGAGACTGAAGTCTAGAGATCTGTAATAGGTTCCCCTTGAGTATTCAGCAGAGTACTTATCAGGGCATATGTGTGAGGAAACTACCTGAGATTGGGGAAAGAACTGCCTGACAGGATTAGAGGGAATAGTGATTGCCTGGTGTTCACACGGGGCCAGGAACTGTATCTGTTGTAACCAACCACGGTGGAGAAATTTGTAATTCATGGGTCATTGGGTATAATGCTAAGGAAGTTTTTGCCTTGATAGCAGAAATTAGCCCTAGACTGAACACTGCTCTGGACCCACCTAACAAAAGTGAGACCTGAAAGGATCAAATTGTTTTCAAGTAACTTAACTGCATCCCAGAAGGAATCTCAAGAAAATTTATAAGGTTGCTGAAGTATCTAACATCCAACAAAGTAAAATTTACAGTGTCTTTTGTTCAGTCAAAGGTTAATATGCCAGACTGGCTGGCGCATACCTGTAATCCCAGCACTTTGGGAGGCCAAGGCGGGAGGATTGCCGAAGACCAGGAATTTGAGACCAGCCTGGGCAATATGGTGAGACCCTGCACACGTCTCAGCTACTCAGGAGGTTGAGGCAGAAGGACTGCTTGAGCCCAGGAAGTCGAGGCTGCAGTGAGCTGTGTCTGCACCACTGCACTCCAGCCTGAATGACAGAGTGAGACCATGTCTCAATTTATTTATTTACGTAATGTATTTTGAGTCTCACTTTATCACCTAGCCTGGAGTACAGTGGCATGATCTCAGCTCACTGCAACCTCTGCCTCCCAAGTTCAAGCAATTCTCCTGCCTCAGCCTCCCAAAATAGCTGGGATTACAGGCATGCAACACCACACCCAGCCAATTTTTGTATTTTTAGTAGAAACGGGGTTTCACTATTTTGGCCAGACTGGTCTTGAACTCTTGACCTCAGGTGATCCGCCCACGTCAGCCTCCCAAAGTGCTGGGATTACAGGTGTGAGCCGCTCTGCCTGGTCAAGAATTCTTTATATATTTTGGATACTAAACCTTTATCAGACATGTGATTTGCAGACAGTTTCTCCCATTTGGTAGGCTGTCTTTTTACTTTCTTGATAATGTCCATTAATGCACAAAAGTTTATAGACTGTATCTTTGTCTTTTTGTAAACCTGAAAATTTTACAAGATTGGATATATAAATCAGAATATATTGGCTTTCCCAGTGTATACTTCTTTTCTTTTTGAGACAGGGTCTTGCTGTGTCACTGAGGCTGGAGCACAGTGGCACAATTATGGCTCAATGCAGCCTCAGCCTCCTGGGCCCAGGTGATCCTCCTGCCTCAGGCTCCCAAGTAGCTGGGATTACGGGAATGCACTACCATACCCAGCTAATTTTTTTGTTTTTTGTTTTTATAGAGCCGGGGTTTCACCATGTTGCCCAGACTAGTCTCAGACTCCTGGGCTCAGGCGATCCACCCACCTCGGCCTCCTAAAGTGCTGGGATTACAGGTGTTAGCCACTGTGTCCAGCTTACTTATTTTCTTTCTCTTTTTCTTTTCTTTTTAACTTTATTTTAGGTTTGGCGTTACGTATGAAGGTTTGTTACATGGGTAAACTCATGTCATGGGAGTTTGTTGTACAGATTATTTCATCACCCAGGAATTAAGCCCAGTACCTGATAGTTATCTTTTCTGTTCCTCTCCCTTTTTCCACCCACTACCCTCAAGTATACCCCAGTGTCTGTTGTTTCCTTCTTTGTGTTCATAAGGTCTCATCATTTAGCTCCCACTGTGTAAGTGAGAACATGTGGTATTTGGTTTTCTGTTCCTGCATTAGTTTGCTGAAGATAATAGCCTCCAGCTCCATCCTTCCATGTTGCACAAAAAACATGATCTCGTTCTTTTTTATGGCTGCATACTTATTTTCTATTAGGAAATTTTATAGCCTTTGATTTTCTGAATACACAATAATTTACTTTGCTATAACTTGTGCTGGAAAAATACAGTAGAGTATTTCAAAATTTGTATTTTAAAATTGCAAGGTGATAAACCTCAAAGGATAATAGAAATAACAGAATATTTATGTATGAGGAAACATGTAGTGAATATAAGGAAAAAATATTGCATTAATAAAACAAAAGCAACTTTGAATTACTTCTTTATTCAAAATTTATGTTTTGAGGTGTTGTTTTATACCTGATATATTGGTAAACATCTTTATGAGGAAAAAAGGACCTAGTGCCATTCATGTTTTGGTGGTTCATTCAAAATACTGCTGTTTTGGCCGGGTACAGTGGCTCACGCCTGTAATCCCAGCACTTTGAGAGGCCAAGGAGGGTGGATCATCTGAGGTCAGGAGTTTGAGACCAGCCTGGCCAACATTACGAAACCATGTCTCTACTAAAAATACAAAAAATTAGCTGAGTGTGGTGGCGTGTGCCTGTAATCTCAACTACTTGGGAGGCGGAGGCAGGAGAATCACTTGAACCGGGGGGCAGAGGTTGCAGTGAGCTGAGACCCTGCCACTGCCCTCTAGCCTGGGCAACAGTGAGACTCCATCTCAAAAATAAATAAATAAATAAAACTGCTCTTTTTCTGACTGGGCGTGGTGTCTCACGCCTGTAATCCCAGCACACTGGGAGGCCAGGGTGGGTGGATCACCTGAAGTCAGGAGTTCAAGACCGGCCTGGCCAACATGAACCACCGTCTCTACTAAAAATACAAAATTAGCCAAGCATAATACACACCTGTAATCCCAGCTACTCTGGAGGCCGAGACAGGAGAATCACTTGAACCTGGAGTCAGAGGATGCAGTGAGCTGAAATCGCATCATTGTACTCCAGCCTGGGCAACAAGAGTGAAACTCCATCTCAAAAAAATAAAAAAGCCCAAAATACTGCTGTTTTTATAAATGATAAAAGAAATGTAACTGCATATATCAATAAGGTTTCCTCTCAGGTGATTACTTAGTGACCTTAATGTTTAGATAAGTTTGTCTTTTATTCTTATTTTACTAACTGTATAGTAATGGTCTGTTTTTCAATTTTAGATATGAATATCGTGTAGAGATGGTTCACCAGTCCTGTAATGATCCTACAAAAAATATCATTCGAGAATTTGCATCTGACTTTGAAGTTGGAGAATGCTGGGGCTATAATAGATTTTTCCGTTTGGACTTACTTGCAAATGAAGGATACTTGAATCCACAAAATGATACCGTGATTTTAAGGTAATAGGAAAAATTTAATGTTGTGGTTTTTATTGTGGGGAAATAATATCATTGGAACTGTATTTCAAAGATCATTTGGTTTAACAAAGATGAATATTGAAATTCATACTAACTATAACCTTATCACTTTCTTAACTGTTTTATTTAAGTGGATAATAATAAAAAATTTGTAGTCAAAAAGTCAAACTTTTTTTTTGACATCTAGTTAGTAATTTCATTAAAGATATGCTGGGTGCGGTGGTGCGCTGGTGTTTCCATCTACTCTGGAGGCCGAGATGGGAGGATAGATTGGGCCCAGGAGTTTGAGACCAGCTTAGGAAACATAATGAGACCCCCATCTCTTTAAAAAGAAAAAAAAATGTGTGTAGGGGGGAAACTACAACTTCTAGTAAATATAGTAATGTTCCATTTATCTGTTGAACTTCTAGTGACCTCACCGTTTGGAAATCTAAGAATAGTGAGGGATAAAGTGTTGATTTTTTTCACTTCACAGTGCATGTTATATTTGAGTGACTGGTTTTACAACTTAATTTTATAAAGCAGCTATCAGTTCTTTGTGAATAACAGAAAATTAAAAGTAGAAGAATCAAGATGAAAGTTGATGAAAATGAACAATTTTCTACTTTTTTCTTAAACTTTTATTTTAGGTTCAGGGATACTTATGTAGGTTTGTTATACAGGTAAACTCACATCGTGGTGATTTGCTGTACAGATTACTTCATCACCCAGATACTAAGCCTAGTACCCAGTAGTTATTTTTTCTGATCCTCTCCCTTCCACCCTCAAGTAGGCCCCAGTGTCTGTTGTCTCCCCTCTTTATATCCCTGAGTTCTCATCATTTAGCGCCTTTTTTTTTTTTCTTGAGATGGAGTCTCCCTCTGTCTCCCAGGCTGGAGTGCAGTGGCGCAATCTCAGCTCACTGCAAGCTCCGCCTCCCGGGTTCACGCCATTCTTCTGCCTCAGCCTCCTGAGTAGCTGAGACTACAGGTGCCCGCCACTGCATCCGGCTAATTTTGTTTTTGTATTTTTAGTAGAGACGGGGTTTCACCGTGTTAGCCAGTATGGTCTCAATCTCCTGACCTCTTGAGCCACCCGCCTCGGCCTCCCAAAGTGCTGGGATTACAGTCCTGAGCCACCGCACCTGGCCCATTTAGCTCTTAAATAAGTGAGAACATGTGGTATTTGGGAAAACCATCAATTTTTTTTTTTTTTTGAGACAGTTTTTCTCTAGTTGCCCAGGTTGGAATGGAGTGCAATGGTACGATCTTGGCTCCCTGCAGCATTCGCCTCCCAGGTTCAGGCGATTCTCCTGCCTCAGCCTCCCGAGTAGCTGGGATTGCAGGCATGGGCCACCAAGCCCGGCTAATTTTGTACTTTTATTAGAGACGGGGTTTCTCCCTATTGGTCAGGCTGGTCTCGAACTCCCGACCTCAGGTGATCCACTCACCTCGGTCTCCCAAAGTGCTCTGATAACAGACGTGAGCCACCGCGTCCGACCAAAACCATCAATTTTTTATTGTTGATTGTTGGTTTAGTATTTACAAGAAAGGGCAGAATATAAATACAGACTATAAAACAACAGCTCTATTTAGCCGGGCATGGTGGCTCACGCCTGTAATCCCAGCACTTTGGGAGGCTGAGGTAGGTAGATCACCTGGGGTCAGGAGTTTGAGACCAGCCTGGCCAATATGGTGAAATCCTATCTTTACTAAAAATACAAAAATTAGCCAGGCTGTGGTGGCACGCACCTGTAACCCCAGCTACTCAGGAGGCCGAGGCAGGAGAATCGCTTGAACCTGGCAGGTGGAGGTTGCAGTGAACCGAGATTATGCCACTGTACCCCAGCCTGGGCGACATAGCAAGACCCCATCTCAAAAAAAGAAAATAAAGTAAATAAAAACAACAGCCCTGTTTAACGTGGGGTAGTCTTTACACAGGTCAGAAGTTTTTGGGCATCGGCTGGGCGCCGTGGCTCATGCCTGTAATCCCAGCACTTTGGGAGGCTGAAGTGGGTGGATCACCTGAGGTCAGGAGTTCAAGACCAGCCTGGGCAACATGGTGAAACCCTGTCTCTACTAAAAATACAAAAATTATTTGGGCGTGGTGGTGGGCGCCTGTAATCCCAGCTACCTGGGAAGCTGAGGCAGTTGAATCGCTTGAGCCCGGAAGGCAGATGTTGCAGTGACCCGAGATTTCACTAGTGCACTGCAGCCTGGACAACAAGAGTGAAACTCTGTCTTAAAAAAACAAAAAACAAACAAAAAAAGATGTTTGGGTATCATTACATGATGTTATAATTTGATGATCAAAATGAGAACTTGAATATTTAAAAAAGAGATTAAAATACGTTCGTAACTGAGAAGTTTCAGAGTATTTAGCAGTTTAAAAAGTTCTCATCACAATTTGAAACTTTTTTTTTCTTGAGAGTAATTTAATGTACTCCTAAAATTCCCTTATTCAGAGCTCTTTGTTCTTGAGCATACTGGACAGATCATATCAGCATTTACTCTTAGGTGTTTTCCATAGCTTTTCTGCAAGTATAAAGAAGTTTAACAAGGGATATGATTTTCAGTGTAGGGAAAAAGATTCATGTTTTTGTTACTGTTTTGTTTTGTTTTGTTTAGAGGCAGTGTCTTGCTATATTGCCCAGTCTAGTCTAGAATTCTTGGGCTCAAGTGATCCTCCTGCCTCAACTTCCCAAGTAGGTGGGATTACAAGTGCATGCCACTGTGCCTGGAATCATGTTTTTTGAAGGGAGGGATTATTTTAGTTATCTTCATATAGCTTTTCAGACTTTTGGGGTTTAATGTTCACCAAGAGAAGTAATTTATTGCTGTTTCATGCTTCAGCCATAGAGAGAATTACAAAATTATTCAAATATCAATTTTACCAACCTACAAAAGACCCGTTTTCTTATTGTCTTAGTTTCATCCTTATTACCGTTATATATTAGTACAGAAACAAATTCTTGTTAGGACATCATTTTTTTAAAGGAACCTTGAGTCTGTACCATATGCCTGACACTGAGTTGCTAATAAGAAAAATATAGACATGGTTTTTGTCCACAGGGAACTCAAGATGAAATTGGAAGATAAAAAAAGAGTTTACTACTCTCTTATTATAAAATAATGCTATAGTAGCACCATAAGTAAATTGCTATGAAATTCGTGGATAGGGAGCTTCTCATTATCGTATTATATTTATTTATTTAATGAAACATTGCTCAAACTTTAAACCTCATTTAGTTCAAGATTCTGGTGGAACTTTATTAGAAAGTTATTTAAGGCTTTTCTGTAACTATGAATATATATTTCATTCTTTCATTAAAACAGAAAGTTAAGAAAATTTACGTGCTGCTTGGTTTTGTTTTAATGGCAAAATATTATAATGCTCAGGGTTAACCAGTGGTTTAAGTCATTCAAAGAAAATAATAGTGTTTAGACGATTTTACTTTAATGTCTTACCAGTGGGTGCTTCCTAGACTGTGAATCATCTCTGCTCAGTTGAGTGAATCATCTCTGCTCAGTTCAGTTCAGAACATACTTTAATCTGTTTATTTTATTTTATTTTTATTTTGTATTATATTATGTTAGAGACGGAGTTTCGCTCTGTTGTCCAGGCTAGAGTGCAGTGACATGATCTTGGCTCACTGCAACCTTTGCCTCCCAGATTCAAGTGATTCTCCTGCCTCAGCCTCCTGAGTAGCTGGGATTACAGGCGCCCACCACCATACCCGGCTAATTTTTGTACTTTTAATAGAGATGGAGTTTCACCATGTTGGCGAGACTGGTCTTGAACTCCTGACCACAGGTGATCTGCCCGCCTCGGCCTCCCAGAGTGCTAGGATTACAGGCGTGAGCCACTGTGCCCAGCCAATCTCTTTTTTTAAAAAAAATACTCAAGTTCTCATTTTGATAATCCAAATATAGCATATAATGATGCCCAAAAACTTCTGACCTATCAAGACTACCCCAACATTAAATAGGATTGTTGTTTTATAGTCGGTGTTTATGTTCTGTCCTTTCTTGCATGAGTATTCTTGACTGAAACTAGATAACTACTGCCAGATAACTGTTAAATGGTCAGTAGGTTCTTACACTAAGGTGTAAAATCCTAGAAAAAAATGGACAGCTAACATTGTGTAACTGGGTAAAAGGCTGGAAGAAATGAAAGAGAGGTAGATGTCCAAATTAATCTTGCTTTGTGGTTTTTCCTTTCTTCAGAAACACCTTCACACATGCACTGCAATTTTTTCACTATAAATATAGTTACGTTAGGCTATGTAACAAAGGTAGAGGTTTGTTTGCTTTAGTATTAGTTTTTTTTTAAATTAAAACAACTGGATAGATTAAGATTCTGTCATTTATATATTAATATGATTTTATGTAGATACAGTACTTTTTTTGCTAATCTGAGCTGAAATAATGCCATATTGTAATAAGGGCAATTTTGATTGCTATCTTGAAGAGTTCGGGATATAGTTTATTTAGAGCATGTAACTCTTTGGGGGACAGTAAAGCAATCCTGGGTGGTTGACCCAGTAAATGATTTTTTTCTGAGGGGCAGGAAATATGGGAATGTGAGATGGAATAGAGAAATATAAAGAGCAGCATTTAAAACTTTGTATTTTGCTAGGGCCTGATTTAGGGAAGAAAGGGATAAGAGTTATCTTTCTCCTTATAGGAGGGAACTGCATGGTATATGGCTCTCTTCTTCCCAACTCATGATCATCATTATATTTTAGTTACATTATTATAATATGCCTTAGTAGGTTAGTTTGGGGAGCTTAACTACAATGTACAATGTACTTTAGAAAGGTAGTTTGAGGACAACTGGATTTTCAGAATCTTGTGTCATCATCTGTGGACTACATCTATAAACAACAAATACTAGCAGCTCTAAGTTTATGTGAATTTTGGCCTTATAATCAAATTAACCAAAATTGCAGAATTCAAAGCTAGACTCATAATATTTTACCATTTTAATTATTATTATTATTATTTTTTAATGTGGCACGATTCTTTTAAGGTTTCAGGTACGTTCACCAACTTTCTTTCAAAAATCCCGGGACCAGCATTGGTACATTACTCAGTTGGAAGCTGCACAGACTAGTTATATCCAACAAATAAACAACCTTAAAGAGGTAAGGAAATATATATTTCTGGTTTAGTGTTTCCTATTGTCCTTTTGGCTTGTTATATTTGTAATTAGATTTTATATATATATTGCTATTTGTAATTTTGTAGTTTATAATTGGAAAAAAAATCTAGTTATCCTGTTCCCCATCCTTACTGGTTCTGCAGTGTCCAGTTTAGTAACCACTAGTCACATATGGCTATGTAAATTTTTGTTTTACTTTATTTATTTATTTTTTATTTTGGAGACAGGGTCACACTCACTGTTGTTGCCAGGAACAGTTTCCACTAACTGCAGCTTCAGCTTCCCAAGCTTGGGTGGTCCTCCCACCTTAGCCTCCCAGGTAGCTCTGACTTTGAGCAGGTGTCATGGCTAGTTTTTGTATTTTTTATGGAGACAGGGGCTTCTCCGTATTGCCCAAGCTGGTCTTGAACTCCTGGGCTCAAGCACTCTGCCTGCCTTGGCCTCCTAAAGTGCTGAGGTTACAGGTGTGAGCCACTGTGCCTGGTCTGTAAATTTAACTTGATTAAAATTAAAAATTTAATTCCTTAGTTGCAGTAGCCACATTTCAAGTGCTTGCATTGGGTACTGCAAATCTAGAGCATTTCCGTCATTGCATAAAGTTGTTTTGAACAGTGTGGCTGTAGTTTGAGGTAAGCTCTTTGTGTTTCTGACAGTGACTTAGTTTCTCTTCCACAAGTTATCTTGGATTTAGAGGATTCTAGGCTATAGCACAATTAAAAGTTGTCCCATCTTGAACTCTTAACTATTGTTGAATGAGTACTGGAGAAGATTAATTGATGAATTTTTATTTTACAATGATAAACTAAGGAATGTTTCATTTCCCTTAGGAACTTAGGATGTGGCGGAAGGTTTGGAGTGCTGAGAATCATTAATAGGTCAGGGAGGAAAATATGAATAAATACATGCTTTCAGAGATTTTCATGTTAAATGTAAATCTTTTAAACTATTTAAATAGATTTTAAACTATTTAAAACTACCTGTATTCACTATACTGTTTGCTATTTGTATGTTTAGCTTAGGCTGGATATGAAAGAAGGAGGATGAGCATATATGGGGCAGTTTATCTTTGTCATCAATTTGTTTCATAAATAAAAGGCAGTAGGGATTCAGAGAAATGGTTTAAGAAATGGTGCCAAGTGAGGTGGCTCACTCCTGTAATCCCAGCATGTTGGGAGGCCGAGACCAGAAGATCATTTGAGCCCAGAAGTTCAAAACCAGCCTGAGCAACATAGCAAGATAAATAAAAAATGAAATTAGCTAACCATGGTGGCATATGCCTCCAGTCCCAGCCACTTGAGAGGCTGAGGCAGTAGGATCTCTTGAGCCCAGTAGTTCAAGGCTTGCAGTGAGCTGTGATGGCACCACTGCACTTCAGCCTGGGCAACAGAGTGAGACAGTTCTCAAAAAATAAATAAGGAAAGAAAGAAATGGTTTTAGGAGCGTCTGGATGCATTTTTTTTTTTTAGCTAGAAACATCTTTTACTGTGCCAGTGAGCTATGGCTAATATTCGTGCTTTTCTTGTTTTAAAAGAGACTTACTATCGAGCTATCTCGAACTCAGAAGTCAAGAGATTTGTCACCACCAGATAACCATCTTAGCCCCCAAAATGATGATGTTCCGGAGACACGAGCTAAGAAGTCTGCGTGCTCTGACATGCTTCTTGAGGGTGGTCCTACTACAGCTTCTATAAGAGAGGCCAAAGAGGATGAAGAAGAGGAGGAGAAGATTCAGAATGAAGATTATCATGTAATAATGAGGCCAGTTTTAGATTTTTGTGTTTGATAAAAGAAAGAGTAGAATCATGGCTTTTAACATATTATGTGCTGAAACAGTAGGCTAAAAATATTGTCCATTGATTTCCATTAGTAATGTATATATGCCCTTATGTAAATGTTAATAAGACAGAAGTTATTCAATCAAAGCATTTCAAGATTCTGAAAAAAAAAATACATTCTATAAAACAAACTGTGATGTACATTTTAAAAACTAAATTACCATAAATTGTGGATTTTAAAAGTGTGTTCTGGCCGGGTGCGGTGGCTCACACTGTAATCCCAGCGCTTTGGGATGCCAAAGTGGGCAGATCACATGAGGTCAGGAGTTCGAGACCACCCTGGCCAACATGGTGAAACCCTGTTTCTACTAAAAATACAAAAATTAGCTGGGTGTGGTGATGCTTGCCTGTAATCCTAGCTACTTGGGAGGCTGAGGTAGGAGAATCACTTGAACCTGGGAGGCGGAGGTTGCTGTGCGCCAAGATTGTGCCACTGCATTCCAGCCTGGGAGACAGAACAAGACTCCATCTCAAAGAAAAAGAAAAAAAAACAGGTGTTCTATTTTCATTCACTGAAACTAGTACATACCTTGTCATTACTTATGTAGGTAGAATGATTTAGGATTTAGTAGATAACCAGGCTCTATCCCAGCTAAACAACAGCCAGAATCCAGAATAAGAATTTAAGAAGTAGTTGATATTTTTACATAAGAAGGGATGCCTAGATAGTTGGGTTTTTTTGTAGTAATTTTTAAGATGAGATACTTCAGTTTTAAGTTACGATGAAGGACCCAGTGGGTCAAGAGAATGCACAGATTAAGTGCTTTGATAAACTAGAGATAATAGGGTTTGGAATGGAGCAGTCAGGTGAAGCAGTTAGTCTTTGACAAACTGAGTTAAAGGAAGGGTGGAGTTTGCAGGTAAGGCAGCTGAAAGTTGGGGAAGTTTTTGCTTAATAGTGGGTATTTTTTTTCTGTGCAGATAGGTGACAGTGTTAATTAATGACCTTGATAATGGTAAAATTAGGTAGAACTGAGGAGTGATGGTTTGAAACATAGCTCTGTGAGGAAGCTGATGTGGAATATGTGAAGGATTCCAGTCACACTGAGGGCCCAGCTGAAGGCGGCACGCATAAGTTAGTAAAATGATATCAGTGTGGTTGTGTGATTTTTCTCCACAGGGCTCAGCAGCTGAGGCACAGAAGCAGAAAATAGCTTTTTGATAACTATATTATTCTTTGGTGCTTGGTTTATGGGGTGGATGGGGTGATCAACTGAGTAGAAACATTTGGAATAGATGTCTTGTTTTCTTGGCATTGATCTAGCACGAGCTTTCAGATGGAGATCTGGATCTGGATCTTGTTTATGAGGATGAAGTAAATCAGCTAGATGGCAGCAGTTCCTCTGCTAGTTCCACAGCAACAAGTAATACGGAAGAAAATGATATTGATGAAGAAACTATGTGAGTGTCCCACTTTACTACTGTAAAGCATTTAAGTGGTAATTATTAGAAGCATATTAACTAACTCACCCTTAAAAGTAGGGACATTCAGCACTTTTTTGAAAGATTGAATCAATAGCCAGTTTTCTCCCTCTAATCTCTGGGCTCTTAGCCAATAATTTTTGTTTTTGTTTTAACTTTTAAATTTGAATTTTGAAATTATTTTATGCCTAAGAAAAGTTCAGAAATCCGTATTTCCTTCACACAGATTCATTCACTATTAATATTTTGCTTTATATTTCTCTGCAATTTTTTTCTGAAACACTTGAGATTGAATATACTTCTCATTGTCTACTTTTCTAAAAACAAGGATATTCTTACATAACTATAGAATAGTTATCAAGATCTGGAAATTAACATTGATGTAATACTGTAACCTTCTAAAAATTTGCCAGTAATGTCCTTTGTCAGGATCGCATTGCATTTAGTTGTTAAATCGATTTAGTTATCTTCCATCTGGGTTACTTTTTTAGAAATTTGTTTTTCGGGTGGGCGCGGTGGCTCACGCCTGTAATCCCAGCACTTTGGGAGACCAAGGCAGGTGGGTCACGAGGTCAGGAGATCGAGACCATCCTGGCTAACACGGTGAAACCCCGTCTCTACTAAAAATACAAAAAGAAATTAGCCAGGCATGGTGGCGGGTGCCTATAGTCCCAGCTACTCGGGAGGCTGAGGCAGGAGAATGGCATGAACCCAGGAGGCGGAGTTTGCAGTGAGCCAAGATCGCACCACTACACTCCAGCCTGGGCAACAGAGCGAGACTGTCTCAAAAAAAAAAAAAATTGTTTTTCATAACTAATACTCTTTGAGAAATACAGAATAGTTTATTTTGTAGAAAGTCCCTCAATTTGGATTAGTCTGAAGTTTCCTCATGATTAGATAGAGATTACACAGTTTTGGCAGGGATACTACGGAAATGATAATGTATCCTTTTCACTGCATCATGTGGGAGTGGAGCATGATGTCAATATGTCCCATTACTTGTGGTTAATTTTGATCACTTGGTTGAGGTAGCATCTGCCAGATTTCTGCACTCCAAAATTACTACTTTTTCCTTTATAATTAATAAATATCTTGTGTATGGGACTGTAAATATCGTATTTTTCTTCCTACTTTTTCCTGTGAATTTTGACACCCCTTGATGAGTGTTGTTTGAAAACGGTTACTGTGTTGATTGCCAAGTGGTGTTTTTCTAATTCCATTATTTCTTACTCATTAGTTGCAGTTTAAGGAAGAGCTTTCCCTTCTGCCCTATTGATGAACTAATTAATGAATATCATTAATGTGGATAAATTTTTTTTTTGAGATGGAGTCTTGCTCTGTCACCCAGGCTGGCATGCAGTGTCACGATCTTGGCTCACTGCAACCTCCACCTCCTGGGTTCAGGTGATCCTTCCACGTCAGCCTCCCGAGTAGCAAGGATTACAGGCACATACTGCCACGCCTGGCTAATTTTTTTGTACTTTTAGTGGAGACGAGGTTTCACCACGTTGGCCAGGCTGGTCTTGAACTCCTGACTTCAGGTGATCTTCCCACCTCAGCCTCCCAAAGTGCTGGGATTACAGGTGTGAGCCACTGCGCCTGGCGATTTTTGGATTTTTAAACCAAGCTTGCCTTCCTGGGACACATCCCACTTGGTCATAGTGTGTAATTTTTTTTTTTTTTTTGAGACAGAGTCTCACACTGTCACCCAGGCTGAAGTGCAATGGCATGATCTCGGTTCACTACAACCTCTGCCTCCCAGGTTCAAGCGATTCTCCTGTCTCAGCCTCCTGAGTAGCTGGGATTATAGGCACCCACCACTACGCCTGGCTAATTTTTTGTATTTTTAGTAGAGATGAGGTTTCACTATGTTGGTCAGGCTGGTCTCAAACACCTGACCTCGTGATCCACCGTCTCATCCTCCCAAAGTGCTGGAATTACAAGTGTGATCCACCTTGCCTGGCCGTCCTTTTTTTTTTTTTTTTTTTTTTTTTTTTGAGACAGTGTCTCTCTCTGTCACCCAGGCTGGAGTGCAGTGGCGCAATACCCACTCTCTGCAAGCTCCGCCTCCCGATTCACACCATTCTCCTGCCTCAGCCTCCCGAGTAGCTGGGACTACAGGCTGCCACCACCTGGCCTGGCTAAGTTTTTTTTGTATTTTAAATAGAGATGGGGTTTCACCGTGTTAGCCAGGATGGTCTTGATCTCTTGACCTCGTGATCCGCCTGCCTTGGCCTGCCAAAGTGCTGGGATTACAGGTGTGAGCCATTACACCCAGAAATTTTTTTTTTTTTTCCTAAGAAAATCTTGCTTTGTGGCTGGGTTGGAGTACTGTGGCATGTTTATAGCTCCCCGTAACCTTGAACTCTGGCCTCAAGTGATCCACCTGCTTCAGCCTTCCTAGTAGCTAGGACTACTGGTGTGCATCATCACGCTTGGCTCATGATTCTTTTTATATGTTGCTGGATTCTGTTTGCGAGTACAGTTGTCCCTCAGTATCCTTGTGGTATTGGTTCTAGGACCCCTCCTTGGATACTAAAATCTGAGGATGCTCAAGTCTCTTATTGGCAGAGTAGTTGCATATAACCTATACACATCCTCCCCTATACTTTAAATCATTTCTAGATTACTTATAATACCTAATACAATGTAAATGCTATGTTGTTATGCTCTATAGTATACAGAATAATGACAAGGGGAAAAAGTCTGTGCATGGCTTTATTTTGTTTTGTTTTATTTATTTTTTTTGAGATGGAGTTTCGCTCTTGTCGCCCAGGCTGGAACGCAATGGCACAATCTCAGCTCACTGCAGCCTCTACCTCCCGGGTTCAAGCGGTTTTCCTGCCTCAGCCTGCTGAGTAGTTGGGATTATACACACCTGCCACCATGCCTGACTAATTTTTTGTATTTTTAGTAGAGACAGGGTTTTGCCATGTTGGCCAAGCTGGTTTCAAACTCCTGGTCTCAGGTGATCCACCTGCCTCGGCCTCCCAAAGTGCTGGGATTACAGACGTGAGCCCCCGCACCCAGCCAACTTTATTTTTTGAGACAGGGTCTGCCCTGTCACCCAAGCTGGAGTGCAGTGGTGTTGTGATCACGGCTCACTGCAACCTCGACCTCCTGGGCTCAAGTGATCCTCCCACCTCGGTTTTCCAAGTATCTAGGACTACAGGTACATGCCAACACACCTGGCTAATTTTTAAATTTTTTGTAGAGACGGGGTCTCACTATGGCCTTACTATGTTGTTCTAGGCTGGCCCCGAACTCCTAGGCTCAAGCAGTTCTCCAGCCTCAGCTTCCCCAAGCGCTGGGATTACAGGCATGAACCACCGCACCAGGCCTTAAAAAATATTTTTCATCCACAGTTGGTTGAATGTGCAGATGCAGAGCCCACAGATATAGAAGGCCAACTGTATTTTGTTGATGCTGTTAATAGTGTTGTATGTTTCTCTGAGTGTTGTATGTGTCTCTGCTTCTCCCTGTAGGCAAAATCTCTGAGCCAAAACTTTGAAGCTGCAGTAAGGATAAAAGTATACCTCTCTTACTTTAGAAGCTGAGCTAACTGGATGTTGGGGACCGTAGCCTTAGTTCTTTCCTTTTCAGGCTTGGGACTTCCACCTTATGAATAAGCTGGGGCAGGGATGATCTGGGCCCCAGTATTCTCATGCTGCATCCAAGTAGAGCCTCTATTCCACAAGTGGGTCTCAGCAGAAGGGAGTCTCCACCTCTTGGCGATGTGTGCCTGTACTATAGCATCAGCAATAGGTAGCTGGGGGCAGAATGAGAAATGGAGATATCTTGCCACTCCTAGGAATATAGCCCTCCTCTTGGAAGCTTGGGAAGTGGGAGGCCTATGTTCTTCACTGCACCAATCTGGGGTGGAATTTCTGTAACGCCAAGTTAGGAAGCGGAGTGGTCTTGGTTCAAATCCTGCGGATACCCACTTGTCTTACCCAGGTTTTACAGATTTTTTTGAGTAGATGTTTCTTCATTTACTGTATACCCTTGGGACCATTTCCAGAGTCGTTAAGTGGTTGTTTTTAAAATAATTGTCACCAGTTTGACTAATGAGCAGATCTACAGAGCTCCTTACATTGTCAAGCTGGATGCTTATCTTGAGATTTCCCTAAATATCCAAGACTATCATTGATTGGTACTGTTTCAAATAGTACTTTGTTGTTTAAAATAAAGTAATAGTGAGTGTTTTTTAATATGAGAGACTTTGTATGGCCTAGTCAGTACCCTCTTTTCTGAAATTTTATTTTTGGAAAAATAGTATTTAGTCATAAACAGTAATTTGGGCCTTTTTTTTTTTGGATGTTAAATTGTAATATTTTAAGCCTAATTTATTACCATTAAGCTACCAGTTCTCAGAAGCTGTAATTTCTTCTAACAGTGGTTCTTAGATTTATTAGTGTTTCATTTATTTCTTTTTTTTTTTTTGCCTGACACAGTTCTTTTTTTTTAATCTTCTTTTCCTTTCCTGTCCTGTCCTGTCCTTCTTGAGACAGAGTCTCGCTCTGTTGCCCAGGCTGGAGTGCAGTAGTGCAATCTTGGCTCACTGCAACCTCCACCTCCCAGGTTCAACCGATTCTCCTGCCTCAGCCTCCTGGGAGCTGGGATTACAGGCACCCACCACAACATCCAGCTAATTTTTGTATTTTTAGGAGAGACAGGGTTTTGCCATGTTGGCCAGGCTGGTCTCGAAATCCTGACCTCAGGTGATCCGCCCACCTTAGCCTCCCAAAGTGCTGGGATTTCAGGTGTGAGCCAGCACACCTGGCCTTGATATATGTATTTTTTAATTCCTTTTTTTTCTTGGCTTTGTAAGAAGAACTGGCTGGTTTTTTTTTTTCTTTTTTTTTTTGAGATGGAGTCTCGCTCTGTCACCCAGGCTGGAGTACAGTGGCGCAATCTTGGCTCACTGCAAGCTCCGCCTCCTGGGTTCATGCCATTCTCCTGATTCAGCCTCCTGAGTAGCTGGGACTACAGGTGTCCGCCACCAAGCCCAGCTAATTTTTAGTATTTTTAGCAGAGGCGGGAATTTCACTGTGTTAGCCAGGATGGTCTCAATCTCCTGACCTTGTGATCCGCCCACCTCAGCCTCCCAAAGTGCTGGGATTATAGGCGTGAGCCACCGCGCCTGGCCGATATTTTTTGAAGGTTGTTTAAACAATAACATTACCACTACTTAAATTTGGATAGTGACAAAAAATCTTTCTCCTTTTTGTATTTAGAAATATCTTATTTCACAGAAAAATCTGCATATCATAAAATTTGATCGCTCTATATGAATGATGGATTTTGTATATTCTTAGGTCTGGAGAAAATGATGTGGAATATAACAACATGGAATTAGAAGAGGGAGAACTCATGGAAGATGCAGCTGCAGGACCTGCAGGTAATGAGGTCACCCACTGCCTCCAAGCCATTCTTATTTTCTCCCTGCTCTTCTCTGACCGTATTATATTTTAAATAGGTGGTAGCGACTGCTTGTACATGGTTCGTGGTGTTGGAAGTGCTACATCTTGTAATACGGATTTTTTAGAGTTCATTACTGAAGATACTTAATAATAATAGCTACCATTTACAAAATGTTCTTATGTACCAGGCACTGTGAGAAGCACTTTATATACCTTATATTAATAAAATTTCGGTGGTACATTCACCAATGGATAGAGAAATTACAGCAACTTGCCAACTTTTAGCAATTTAGTAAATGAGAGTAATTGAATCCCCAGTTTTGTCTGTATGCCATGCTTATATTTTATACTGTTTTCTGATATAAAGTCTTATTTGTGTATCTTGCTGGACTATAGAATGATCTCAATGGAATAATTGACTCTTAGACTTACAAAGGATCTTAAAGAGCTCATTTTATGGTTTTTAGTTGCCTGGTCATATAGCTGGTTGTTAGTACAACCAGACTAGAACTCCAGATTGTCCTGGGTTTGTGGACCCAGCATTTTTCTCCCAAACTACACTGCTTCTCCTGGGAAGAACTGACTTATATAATGAGTACTTTTTTTGTGTGTTCTCGGATCTATTTAATTAAGTAGTGAATCTTGGCTAGAGTAATTAAAAGTTAGCTTTCTACTGTTTCTGTTTTACCCATGTTCTCCTCAGTATGAACACTGGCATATTCTTTTTTTTTTTTTTTTTTTGAGACGGAGTCTCGCTCTGTTGCCCAGGCTGGAGTACAGTGGTGCGATCTCGGCTCACTGCAAGCTCTGCCTCCCAGGCTCATGCCGTTCTCCTGCCTCAGCCTCCGGAGTAGCTAGGACTACAGGCACCCGCCACCACGCCCGGAGAACTTTTTGTATTTTTAGTGAAGACGGGGTTTCACTGTGTTAGCCAGGATGGTCTCGATCTCCTGACCTCATGATCCGCCCACCTCGGCCTCCCAAAGTGCTGGGATTACAGGCGTGAGCCAGTGCACCTGGCCAACACTGGCATACTCTTAATATGCTTGGATAACTAAAGACTTCTAAATACTAGTCCTCACCATTTCAACTCCAACCTAAGCCCTATATTCTTTCTACTCCTGACTTTAATCCTGGGTAATCGTATCCACACCTGTATTTCAGTTACTATCTGTATACTGATTACTCTTAAAGTTCTTTCTTTAGCCTTTGACTTTCCCGTAATTTCCAAACCCTTGTCTTGGTGTGACTCAGCACCTCCCAAACACAGATTACTGTCTTTTCATCTGCCAGCTTGCCTGTCAGCAGTAGCTACCCTGACTGATAGTGCTATACATTCTTTACTTCTTCCTCTCCCTAAAAGTTTACCTTTAGTGTATTACCAAGATCTGTTGGTTCTGTCTCCTAAATCGTGCGTAAATTCATTTGATACTCCCACTCCTTTGCCATTCCTAGTCTAGGCCTCTGTCTTTCACAACAGCCTTTCACCTGGGTTCTTTGTATTTATTATTGTTCGGCTCCATTTTTATAGCATGAATCCATTTTTACAGCATGGATTCAGAATGAGGGTGTTTTTTTCTTTCTGATTAATATCTATTCGTGTTACTTCTCTGCCAGGCTTGGTGACTCACACCTGTAATCTCAGTCCTTTGGGAGGCTGATGTGGGTGCATTGCTTGAGTCCAGGAGTTTGAGACCGGCCTGGGCAACGTGGTGAAACCCTGTCTCTACAAAAAAATTAGCCAGATGTGGTGGCAAAATTGCTACCTGTGGTCCCAGCTATTTGGGTGGCTGAGGTGGGAGGATCACCTGAGCCAGAAAGCGGAGCCTGCAGTAAGCTGAGATAGCACCACTGTACTCCAGCCTAGGCAACAAAGTGAGACCCTATCTCAAAAAAAGAAATAAAAATAATGAAAAATAATATCTAATCATGTTATTTCTCTACTTAAAAACTCTTTAAGGATTATATTTATTATAGGATAAAGTCCAAACTTGTTAACATGGCACATAAATTCCTTTATGTCTGGATTCCTGTTTGTTTCCTTAGTCTTACTTCTCTCATTCCTCTGTGTCATTCTTTAGTCAGGAGGAGCTTCAAAGAATCACAAGATCTACAAATTTAGAGAGAAAGCTTTAATTCTTATAAAGACTGGCCATCCTGACAAGCTGTGAAGTATAGCCTCTGGTAAACACTAAAAGCAGGCACTTTGCAGGAGGGAAGGGTAACATAGGAATTGATAATGAATTAAGTTGGCCAAGTACAACTAAATGGATTCAACAGGGTATAGGAGGAGCTATGAATATCATGAAGAGGGGAACACATGCATGCATAGTAGACAAACATGCATGTTACATGCATTTCATGTTTACTTTGGACTGGGGACTGAACATTTAAATGCATTACAATTAGGCCCTGTTGTCAAAAGGTAAAACCAACGACACAAAGGCACTCCATGCTCAACCTCTGTATACGGGCCAGAACCAGTCCATGGTTGGGGACTCTTAACAGGAGAAAGTTACTGAAATCAGTCTTTTACATTTTTGAATTATATATTCATCAAATATTTACTGAGCACTTGAACTGTGTACAGTTTTACTATCTAGAGATACAATATTGAATAACAAGATATTCTTGTTCTTATGGAACCTGTGTTATAATTCTGAATATTCTTTAATAATTCAGGCACTGAATTCTAGATGTTGAAGACATAATAATGAACCAGTTTATTTTTATTATATGCTTTGGGAAATTTATGTATTTGGCACAAATTTGTTAAATATCATGCCTACCTGGAAAATACAACACTAAGTAATTTATAACATAAAGGTGAGTGGATTTATGAACAGTTAGCTAGAATATGACAGTATACATACAAAAGAATTCCAAATTATTTAAATACTCCCTCCTCAAGGAGATGAAATATAACTTCTACTCCTTAACTGTAGGCTATGCTTAGTTACTTACGTCTGAAGAGTACAGTTTCAAAAGGGGGAAACAACTTCAAAGTAGAGAAACTTGGCAAACATTACCTACCCAGGTGATTAAATTTAGTATTGTTAAGTGATAGGTCATGTTGATAGCATGTTGATAGTATTTTAAGTGATAATGTTGATATGTTGAGAATGGTACTTTATATCTGTAGTATCTTCCCTCTCTAAAAACCCACAATCTAATCATGAGGGAAAAAGTCATACCCTTAATTGAGGAACATTCTACAAAATATTTGACATACTTTTCAGAATAAAGAAAATCTGAGAGACTGTCATAGACCAGAAGAGTCTAAAAAGACAGGAGCAACTAAATATATTTCAATACTCTAGGTGAGACTCTGAACAGAAAAAGAACATTAGGGGAAACATTACTAAAATCTCAATAGGATTTAGTTAATAATATATCAGTATTGGTTCATTAGTTGTGACAAATATACCATAGTAATGAAAGGTATTAACATTGGGGAAATTGGGTCTGGGTTTTACAGGAACTGTCTGTATTTTTACCTTTCCTGTAAACCTAAAACTATACTAAAATAAAAGCTTTTTTTTTTTCTTTCGAGATGGCGTCTCGCTCCGTAGCCCAGGCTGGAGTGCAGTGGCATGATCTTGGCTCACTGCAAGCTCTGCCTCCTGGGTTCACACCATTCTGCTGCCTCAGCCTCCCGAGTAGCTGAGACTACAGGCGCATGCCACGACGCGTAGCTAATTTTTTGTATTTTTAGCGGAGACGGGGTTTCACTGTGTTAGCCAGGATAGTCTTGATCTCCTGACCTCGTGATCTGCCCTCCTTGACCTTCCAAAGTACTGGGATTACAGGCATGAGCCACCATGCCTGGCCAATAAAAAGCTTTTTAAACCAAGGCAATGAAAAAGCTAGATCGGGGTGACAGTGGGCAGAGTGTGGAAATGCTTTTTTGTTTTTTTGTTGTTTTTGGTTTTGGTTTTTTTTGAGACGGAGTCTCGCTCTGTCGCCCAGGCTGGAGTGCAGTGGCCGGATCTCAGCTCACTGCAAGCTCCGCCTCCCGGGTTTATGCCATTCTCCTGCCTCAGCCTCCCGAGTAGCTGGGACTACAGGCGCCCGCCACCTCGCCCGGCTAGTTTTTTATATTTTTTTAGTAGAGACGGGGTTTCACCGTGTTAGCCAGGATGGTCTCAATCTCCTGACCTTGTGATCCGCCCATCTCGGCCTCCCAAAGTGCTGGGATTACAGGCTTGAGCCACCGCGCCCGGCCTGCTTTTTTGTTATATGCTTATTATGAAGGTCCATTTCAAGCCTCGAATGGTTTATGTGTTTTTTGTTTTTTGTTTTTTGAGACGGAGTCTTGCTCTGTTGCCCAGGGTGGAGTGCAATGGCACGATCTCAGCTCACTGCAACCTCTGCCTCCTGGGTTCAGGCCATTCTCCTACCTCAGCCTACCAGATAGCTGGCACTACAGGCATGCATCACCATTCCCTCCCGGCTTTTTTGTATTTTTAGTAGAGACGGGGTTTCACCATGCTGGCCAGCTGGTCTCAAACTCCTGACCTCAAGTGATCCACCCACCTCTGCCTCCCAAAGTGCTGGGATTATAGATGTGAGCCACTGTGCCAGGCCTGGTTAATGTTTTAGAACTATACAATTGTCTAAAAAGTTATGTCATCTAGAGAATTACGATGTTATGTTATGCGTTAAAAAGCAGATGGTTGGGCTTATATAAAAGGTAGGTATAAAGTTAAATGTTTACTTAATAATCTCATTTTATAGACTGTATTAAATAAGGAGATAGCTTGAAACAAGAAATATTTACTGACTCAGGTGGCTGTAGTCCTGGCTACTTGGGAGACTGGCAGGAGAATAGCTTGAGCCTAGGAGTTCGAGGGTACAGTGAGCCATGATTGTGCCACGGTACTCCAGCGTGGGTGACAGAGCAAGACCCTGTCTCTTAACACACACACACACACACACACACACACACAACCAGCAAATACAAACTGGATTTTTCCTACTCACTGGATTCAGTGAGCCAATAATCTGGATTAGAATGATATTTACAACCTTTTCAGCACAAATGTTTTTTAACATAAATTATCTTTTTTTTTTTTTTTTTTTTTTTGAGACAGAGTCTCGCTCTGTTGCCCAGGCTGGAGTGCAGTGGCCTGATCTCAGCTCACTGCAAGCTCCGCCTCCCGGGTTTACGCCATTCTCCTGCCTCAGCCTCCGAGTAGCTGGGACTATAGGCGCCCGCCATCATGCCCGGCTAGTTTTATGTGTTTTTTTAGTAGAGACGGGGTTTCACCGTGTTAGCCAGGATGGTCTCAATCTCCTGACTTCGTGATCCGCCCGTCTTGGCCTCCCAAAGTGCTGGGATTACAGACTTGAGCCACCGCGCCTGGCCAACATAAATTATCTTTCACTTAAATTCAAATAACTGAATAAACTAAAAGCAGTTCTCATAAGAAGACGTCTGCAGATGCCACCACACCCAACTAATTATATTTTGTAGAGACGGAGTCTTTCTTTCTTGCCCTGGCTGGTCTCCAACTTCTGGCCTCAATCCTCCTGCCTCAGCCTCCCAAAGTGTTGGGATTATTGCACCTGGCCACAGATGTTAGAAAAATGAATGAGCATAATTTTTAAATGAAAATCCAGCACTGATCATTACAAGATTTTGTGATTGTAAATATCAGTATGTAATTTATAACAAAATAAAGGATGTGAAAATGTAGAATATTCTGGAAAGGTAGTTGAGGACTAGACTGTAATAGGACCTTGAGTGTCATGATAATGCATACAGGCAGTATGCTGTAATGAACTCAAGTATATCCGTGTGACATTTTAGCAAGATTCGTATCGCTTGGCACAAATGGAGAAGAACCTGTCACTGATCCATTTGTCTTTTTATGAGGTTTTTTTTTTTTCTATGTGAACTTCAGAAGCATAGTTTTTTTTTTTTTTTTTTTTTTTTTGGAATCTCGCTCTGTCGCCCAAGCTGGAATGCAGTGGCGTGATCTCAGCTCACTGCAATCTCTGCCTCCCGGGTTCAAGCAGTTCTACCTCAGCCTCCCAAGTAACTGGGATTACAGGCGCCCTCCACCACGGCTGGCTAATTTTTGTATTTTTAGTAGAGATGGGGTTTCACCATCGTGGCCAGGCTGGTCTTGAACTCCTGACCTCGTGATCCACCTGCCTCGGCCTCTGAAAGTGCTGGGATTACAGGCGTGAGCCACTGTGCCTGGTTGCATAGCTTTATTCTTAATAGGCAAAAGCTAGAAGCAACCCAAATTGTTTTCCAATAGAATAGAGAAATAAATTGGATATATTCATAAACTGATGCTGCACAGTAATAATGAAAATGAGGCAGTGGCTCATGCCTGTAATCCCAGCACTTTGGGAGGCTGAGTCATGTGGGTCACTTGAGGCCAGGAGTTCAAGACCAGCCTGGCCAATATGACAAAACCTGATTTCTCCTAAAAATAGAAAAAATTAGCTGGGTGAAATGACGCATGCCTGTAATCCCAGCTACTCGGGAGGCTGAGGCATAAGAATCATTTGAACCTGGGAGGTGGAAGTTGTGGTGAGCAAAGATTGCACCACTGTATTCCAGCCTGGGTGACAAAGCAAGACTCTGTCTCCAAAAAAAAAAGAAAAGAAAAGAAAAGAAAAATATTTAAAAAGAATATTAAAAAAAATTTTTTTTAAAGAAAATGAATAAGCTACTCCTATATACAGCCATATAGATGAATCTCATGAATAATATTGACCAAAGAAGAAGAGCATAAGAGCATACTCTGTTACTTTTACATAAATACAAACAGGCAAAACCAATCTGTAATTTAAGTTAGAATGAAGATTACTTTTGTAGAGTAGGAGTAGTGAGCAATTTTAGGAGGCATAGGAGGGGGTTCTGGGGTACTGATGATCTATTTCTTCATCTGGGTGTGATCACTTTGTGAGTATTCATTGGGCTGTACATTTATATATGAGACACACAGAATAGCTTGGAAAGAGAGAAACTGAAATCGATGCCAACCCAGTCTTTGTTGCCTGTGGGGAAATTTGATAGTGGGTAGAAAGGTGGGAACATAGGCTGGGCACACTGGCTCCTGCCTGTAATCCCAGCACTTTAGGAGGCCAAGGCGGGCTGATCACCTGAGGTTGGGAGTTCTAAGACCAGCCTGACCAACACGGAGAAACCCCCGTCTCTACTAAAAATACAAAATTAGCCAGGCGTGGTGCCGCATGCCTGTAATCCCAGCTATGAGGGAGGCTGAGACAGGAGAATCACTTGAATCTGGGAGGCGAGACTCTATCTCAAAAAAAAAAAAAAAAAAAAAAAAAAAGAAAGGTGGGAACATTTGAAAGGGGAGTAGCCAAAGGTCATACCCACAGGGGGGAAAAAAAAGTTACTGTTCAGTGGTGAGAATAATGGCCTGAAAAAGCAGTGAGAAACAGGAGACACTGCTTTCTCTACTGTAAGTGCATTTAACATGGAAGAATGAGCAACTTCCGTTTTTAAAGGAGAACCAGATATTAGGGCAGTAAACTCCATTCACTGGGCTACTGGGCTTACTATACGTAAGAATAGTCTGACCAGCTTTTTGGGAGTAAGTCCTGGATCTCACCCCCGTATCCCTTTTTTTTTTTTTTGAGATGGAGCCTCACTCTGTCACTCACGTTAGAGTGCAGTGGTGTGATCTTGGCTCACTGTAACCTCTGCCTCTCGGGTTCAAGCAATTCTCCTGCCTCAGCCTCCTGAGTAGCTGGGATTACAGGTGCCTGCCACCACACCTGGCTATTTTTTTGTACTTTTAGTGGAGATGGGGTTTCTCCATGTTGGCAAGGCTGGTCTCGAACTCCTGACCTCAGGTGATCCTCACACCTTGGCCTCCCAAAGTGCTGGGATAACAGGCGTGAGCCATTGCACCCAGCCTCTTACCCCCAGTATTCTTATTCAGTAGACCTAGGATGTAATTTTAAAAACTCCTTCAGCTGACTAACATACAACCCAATTTGGGAATTCCTTAGTAAAAGAAAAGAGGTAAAAACAGTTTTCAGCTGGGTGTGGTGACTCACGCCTGTAATCCCAGCACTTTGGGAGGCTGAGGTGGGTGGATCACTAGGTCAGGAGATCCAGACCATCCATGAAACCCCGTCTCTACTGAAAATACAAAAATTAGCCGGGTGTGGTGGCGCATGTCTGTAGTCTCTGCCACGGGAGTCTGAGGCAGGAGAATCGCTTGAACCCAGGAGGCGGAGGTTGCTGTGAGCGGAGATTGGGCCACTGCACTCCAACCTGGGCAACAGTGAGACTGTGTCTCAAAAAAAAAATGAAGTGTTTTGTTTTTGTTTTTGTTCAATGTGAAGGGGAAATCGTTTTCTGTTATTTAATAGGAATTGCAGTGTTTACGGAGGCTGGGAAGAAAAACTGTCAGTGAGATAATAATCCCTAGAAGAGGAGGTAGAAGTGGGAGACAGTGAGAACATGAGGATGTGAAAAGCATAAATTATTAATTGGCTTGAAGCTTCTGAATAATGGAGCTTTCCTCCTAAGTTATATCCTTCTGGATCTCTCTGAAATACTCATGGGTAGTCAGAACCTGACTTTTTAATATTTTATATTATCTACTTTCCTGCATGTAGCATTTTTAAAAAATGTTCTCTTTAGAATATATTTAAACAGCTTTATTGAAGAAGGTCAGTTTTAAGCAACATTTCCATACCTGGTATTTGCTATGCATTATAACTAGGTGCTAGAGAAAAGTCAGATGCTTTTCTTGGCTTAGAGAGCATAGTCCAGTATAGGGGTATAGGCATAATATCTGCTTACAGATGTCGGTAATATGCATCAGTCATTAACATGACAGTCCGAAAACTTCAAATTGTACCCCATTATTTAATCAAAGTAGAAAAAGTCTACCAAACCGTCATGACCTGTAGATTTTGCTGTCCAGAGACTTGGAAGAGATTCCTATTTTGGTGTCTAATACTCTGTAATCTGTTATACTATGGGAATTTGTCGTCTTTCATCTAAAACCAGGTGGTCACGGGATATAATCTCCTCACCCTCACCCCTCATCCCTCCGATTGTGCACATTGTACACATTGTCGTCTGTTTTTTTCTAGGGCTCAGGATGGGGTTGATGCTTGCTTCTGAGTTCTAAGTACTAATGAGGCCACCACTCAATCACTGTGCTAGTGTACAACTCTGGCCATCTGGTTCCTTCTTTCTGCTTCTTATCATGAACCTGAACTCCTAAGAGATAGGTCCATAGACAAGTATTCATATAATGTTAACCAGTTCATTTTTTCATTTAAATATAGCTAAATTTGTGCAGATACGTATCTGCACATTTTCATACATTTTCTACACCTCTTTCATACATTTTCTACACCTCTTTTGCAGGTAGTAACCATGGCTATGTGGGTTCCAGTAGTAGAATATCAAGAAGAACACATTTATGCTCTGCTGCTACCAGTAGTTTACTAGACATTGATCCATTAATTTTAATACATTTGTTGGACCTTAAGGACCGGAGCAGTATAGAAAATTTGTGGGGCTTACAACCTCGCCCACCTGCTTCACTTCTGCAGCCCACAGGTAAAATAATACCAGTGATAATTTCCTTTTTTTCTGTGGCTGTCTAAAAGAACTCTTGGATTTTCATTTAAGTATTTCAACTATGTGTGGAACATGGTATATTTCTGTGTTGTTCATTGTATACCCTAAAAATGATATTTATATCAACTAAATTAATTTTTAAATTACTGTTCAAAGGTAATTTGTGCAAAAACAAAGTAAAAATGCCCACAAGAAGGTTTTTTATGATTTTGCTACTCAGGTTTTGCCTGATAGTTTGATCCATATGAAATACAGTTATCTTCTTTGTGAATGGACCTTTTTTGGTCAGGCTTCATGAATTCCCTTACTTCCAAGTGGAACTATATCTAAATTGAACATAGAAAAAGGTGACTTACTCATTCAATGTTCAATAGCCTAAAAATGTACACCAGTTGGCAGCAATGCTTTCTGTGCAAAGGTTATTTGTTAAATGGAAATTATATTTGTGTTACTATAATAAAATGGAGATTTGTATAGTCAAACATGGGCTTTTTAAAACTCAGGGATAGAGTCATTTTAGACACCTAAGGATTTGCCTTTAAAAACTACATTTTAAAAACCATTTTTGTTGGAATGCTTTCTAAAGTATATTCAGTATATTCAAAATATATGACAAATATTTTTCTACCTTCTTAAATAATAGTATTATATACATCAAATCAATGATTTAGAACTCTGATTTTGATGCAGTTTTAAGGCAAGAGAACTCATTTTTCAATCAAAGTCCAAGACAGAACCTCTGTGTAAGTAACAGAGAAATAGAGCTCCTCTACTGGTGTAGGGACATGGAGTCCAGATTATTTAGGCTTCTTCATTCCTAGGAGCCATATATACTTCCTGAAAGTCTGGATCCTCAGTTTAAAAGACTGTCTTCAGGTTATGAAATAGTTGCCTTTATATATGCTTTATATAAAGTTTTACTTAAATGACAAGTGTTGTTTGCAAAGGCCCAGTGAAACAGACAGGTTCTGTTTCCATAGGTGGATATGTAAGTTGGTTTAACCTTTTTGAAGGACAATTTTGCAGTAGTTTTAAAATATCTATATCCTTTAAACCTGGAATTTAACTTTGAGGAGTATATTCCAAAGAGAAAACAATCAGATGTTTAAAAATATTCAACAATACAGTTATAGCTGAATAAATTACAGCATAACCATACAATGGTATATTTTATAGACAGGTAAAATCGTGTTTTTGAAAATATTCAGTCTCATTGGGAAAAATGCAAACTAAACAGTAAGATTTCTGTTTAAAACTAGTTTTTGGCCGGGCGCAGTGGCTCACACCTGTAATCCCAGCACTTTGGGAGGCCGAGGTGGGCGGATCACGAGATCAGGAGATCAAGACCATCCTGGCTAACCCGGTGAAACCCCATCTCTACCAAGGACACAGAAAATTAGCTGGGCGTTGTGGCAGGCGCCTGTAGTCCCAGCTACTCAGCCGGAGAATGGAGTGAACCCGGGAGGCGGAGGTTGCAGTGAGTCGAGATCGCACCACTGCACTCCAGCCTGGGCGGCAGATATAGGCTCCGTCTCCAAAAAAACAAAACAAAACAAAACAAAAAAACTAGTTTTCTGTGTAAAAATAATACAAATGAGATTATCTGCATTTCAAACATAGATAAAATGCTGATGATAATGAGGGTGGGGAAAATAGTAGAAAGAAAAAGCAAGTTTTGGATTTAAACATCTTGAGTTGGGCATAACAGTGTGACATCAAATTAGAGAGGACCAGTAGACAGCTAAAAATTAAGAACTGGGGCTGGGTGCAGTGGCTCACGCCTGTCGTCTCAGCACTTTGGGAGGCTGAGGCTGGTGGATCACCTGAGGTCAGGAGTTCGAGACCAGCCTGGCCAACATGGTGAAACCCTGTCTCTACTAAAAATAGAAAAAATTAGCCCACCATTGTGGCAGGTGCCTGTAATCCCAGCTACTTAGGAGGCTGAGGCAGGAAAATGGCTTGAACCTGGGAGTCGGAGGTTGCAGTAAGCCGAGATTGCACCATTGCACTCCAGCTTAGGCAACAAGAGTGAAACTCCATCTCAAAAAACAAACAAACAAAAAAAACTGGAATACAGACAGTTATTCTTCTGGAGGTGATACTGGATAATTAAAACCAAGGGTATGAGATTGCAAAATAATTTTGAGAATATTTTAAAAGAAGAGAGGCAGGAACATAATCCTGATGAACATCTGTTTTTAGTGAGTGTGAGGAAGATGAGCCAGATAAAGAGCTTTTAGAAAGGAGTAAAACCAAGAGAAACACTCATGGAAGCCAAATGAAAATACCTTTCAGTGAAGGGATGTTGGTAAGCTAGTGTGCAGAAAGATAATGACTTTCTTTTTATTGAAAAGGCTTGCTTGGGTCCTTTTTTGTTTGTTTGCTTGTTTTTTTTTTGTTGTTGTTGTTGTTTTTGAGACAGAGTCTCACTCTGTTGCCCAGGCTGGAGTGCAATGGCGGGATTTCAGCTCACTGCCACCTCCGTTTCATGGGTTCAGGTGATTCTCATACCTCAGTCACCTGAGTAGCTGGGATTATAGGCGTGAATCCCTGTAATCCCAGCTAATTTTTTGTAGAGACAGGTTTCACGATGTTGGCCAGGCTTGTCTCAAAACTCCTGAGCTCAAGTGATCCACCTGCCTTGGCCTCCCGGAGTGTGCTGGGATTACAGGTGTGAGCCACTGCACCTGGCCTGCTTAGGTTTTGATGTTTATTTTTTTCTGTGTATTTATTTCAACACATATTTAGTGAACATTTGTCAGATTAACTTCAAATTCATGTTCTTAACCATGTAAAGGAGTATTAAAAGGTATCAGGTAATCTAGTTGAACCAGATTTTAAGGTACATATAGTGGTAAGTAGAACTAGAAAGTCGTGTTGGGTCCATTCTATGAAAGGACTTGCATGCTAGCCAGAGGAATTTATTCATAGTAGGCATGGAGAGCCATTGTTTTATTTTAGAAGTGGTTAGATTCAGACTGTATTTCAGAAAACTGACAATTCTGAGAAAATTATCAGAAATGGAAGTTCAGTCAGGGTATTACCAAGCCTAGCTAACAAAAAAAATTTTTTTGTACAGATAGGGTGTCACTGTGCTCCCCAGGCTGACGTTGAACTTCTGGCCTCAAGCAATTCTCTCACCTCAGCCTCCTGAAGTGCTGGGATTACAGGCGTAAGCCACTGTGCCTGGCCAGCAATACGTATTTTTAATATAATGTCATATATGGCAGATTTGACAAAGTATTTGGCTTCTAGATTTTCTTTGTCATTTTTTTCAATTATAAACATAATAAAAGCTCTGCAGAAAGTTTTAGAAAACTGGAGAAGTTTAAAGAAGAAAGCACAAGGCAGTAGGGCAGCTTTTAAACTTTTAGAATTAAATGTGTAATTCAAATTTGAGTATGATGTGACTCAGATTCTAACTGAAGGTGTAAATAAGTTAGGATTCTTTATCTTTATTTTCATTAACGGAATTTAGTGCATGTTTTATTGTTGATATCAAGTAAAGCACCCTAGCTTATTTTACACATCAAATTTGCATATATTCGTATACAAATGATTTCATGAATATTAACGTTTGTTAACATGACTTGTCAATTTCTCCGAAGCATCATATTCTCGAAAAGATAAAGACCAAAGGAAGCAGCAGGCAATGTGGCGAGTGCCCTCTGATTTAAAGATGTTGAAAAGACTCAAAACTCAAATGGCCGAAGTTCGATGTATGAAAACTGATGTAAAGAATACGCTTTCAGAAATAAAAAGCAGCATTGCCGCTTCTGGAGACATGCAGACAAGCCTTTTTTCTGCTGACCAGGCAGCTCTGGCTGCATGTGGAACTGAAAACTCTGGCAGATTACAGGATTTGGGAATGGAACTCCTGGCAAAGTCATCAGTTGCCAATTGTTACATACGAAACTGTAAGTAGTATGTTCTTAGTGTCATTTCTCCACATGTTATTTGGGAAACTAGATGACTGTTTTTTTCAAAAGAATAATATTTAAATACCTCTATTCCAGTGAATTAAGACAAATACATGTGACTTTTTTCCTCATCCAGAATTGATTCCGTATATTTTTACTATATAGTAGAGCTAACATTTCTTGATTGCTTACTCTGTATTTGGCAATGAACACGACAAAATTCTTAACATCATAGATCTTGTATTCTAGTAATGGGAATCAGACATTAAAATGTGTAAACAAATCAAGATCATTTCAGTGGGTAAAAGGTGCTGTGAAGGAAACAACTGAGGAGTGGGATGGGAGGAGCATATGAGACATGTTCTATTGGAGTAGTCAGAGAAAGTCTCTGTGAGGAGGCAGCCCTTGACCTGAGACCTGAAGGTTAGGAAGGTGGCAGCTATTTAGAGATCTAAGGCAAGCAGTGTTCTGGGTAAACAGAACGGAAAATGCAGAGTCACTGACACAGTATTTATTTTGCGTATTTGAAGGATTGAAGGAAAACCAGTATAGCAACGAAAGCAGAGAGAGGAGACTAGCAGGAGATGAAGTCAGAGAGAGGTAGGCAGAATTTAGATCAGGCAGAGTCTTGTAAAACCTCAAAAAGGAGTTCAAGTTTTATGATGTAAGGAGGAAGCCTCTGGAGAATAAAAATAGGGGATGTTTATAATCTGATTTACACTTTATAAAATGACTTTGCTTGTTGTGTGGAGAAGGGTCTGAAAAGGGTTGAGGATAGGAGTTGTGAGACCAGGAACAGCCTATTACATTATCTTGTGTGAAATATGATGGCATTTTCTGGAGTTATAATAGTGGATAGAGGACTTACTCACAGGCCAGCAGCCTTTCTGACTGAGGTTTCCATCTTTCTTAGTTCTCTTAAGGATGTGCTGTTCTCTTCTAGATGCATAAGAGGGGAGTTAATCCAGTCTTAGATCAGCAGAGCTGAGTTCTTTCTCAGAACAATAGTTGAAAAAGCCTAAATAGAGTTTTAGGAAAAGTAAGAAACTAAGAATCATGATTAAGTTTTGGCCTAAGCAACTTAGTAGCCAGTGGTATCATTTATTGAGAAGCAAATAAGATAAGAAGCAGGTTGTGGGGCTTGGGAGGAGGTAAGGGCAGAAAGTGGGTATTCTTTTTTAAACATGTTAAATTTGAGACACCTGCTAGATATCCTAGTAAAATGTCATAGACACACGAATGGTACACAAGTTTGAAACTCAGAGAGAGGTCAATGCTGGATATAAACAGTTGGGAGTCAGTAGTATTTTCTTTTATTTAAATCCAGAGGACTGAATAGGTCAAGTTTGGAGGGAGTTTCAATGGAGAAGCAAAATTTTGACTCTGTGGCACTTAAACATTTAAAGGGCTGATAAATAGGAGAGGCCAGCAAGGGAAGTTGAAAGAGCAATCATTAGGGTAGGAGAAAAACTGGAAGGGATAATATGTCAAAAATCAAAAATAATGCATCTTAAGAAGTAGAGTGGTTACCCCTGTGTTAAATATCATTGAGAAGTGTCAAGGCAAGAGGCCAAGTGGCCCTTTTAAGAACCATTCCCATGGAGTAGTGTAGCAGAAGAGTGAATGAGGTCAGGGACCAGAGCGCAAATGTACAACTTCTTTAAAAGAAGTTTCACAATGAAGTAGGTAGAAGCTGGAGGAGGTGTGGGGTCAATAGTTTCTTATTGGCAGGGGTGTCCTTTTTTGTGTCCTCTTCAATTTTTTTCATCTATGAATTAAACCCATTTTAAAATTGGGTTGGGTGGTTACTTGTAGTTGACTTTTAGGAGTTCTGTATATATTTTAAATATTAATCTTTTATCAATTATATGATTTGCAAATGTTTTCTCCCAGTGTGGGGGTTGCCTTTTCCCTCTGTGGATTGTGTCATTTGACATTTAAAGTTTTTAATTTGAAGAAGCACATTTTATGTGTTTTTCCTTTTGTTCCCTGTGCTTTTGGCGTCATAACCAAGAAAACATTGCCGAATCCATTGTCATGAAGCTTTCTCCTGTTTTCTTCCAAAAGTTTTAGTTCTTGCTTTTAGTCTTACTTTTAGTCTTTCATCCATTAGGAATTAAGTTTTGTTTATGGTGTCAGGGAAGGGTCTGACTTGCCCATGGATATCGAGTTTTCCCAGCGCTATTTGTTGAAAAGACTTTTCTTTCCTCATTGAATGGTTTCAGCACCATTGTCTGAATCATTTGACCATATAGATGAGGAGGGTCTGTTTCTAGGTTCTCTTTGTGTGTGTTGTTTATTAAAATTGGCTGTATTAGGCCGGGCGCGGTGGCTCAAGCCTGTAATCCCAGCACTTTGGGAGGCCGAGACGGGCGGATCACAAGGTCAGGAGATCAAGACCATCCTGGCTAACACGGTGAAACCCTGTCTCTACTAAAAAAATACAAAAAACTAGCCAGGCGAGGTGGCAGGCGCCTATAGTCCCAGCTACTCGGAAGGCTGAGGCAGGAGAATGGTGTAAACCCGGGAGGCGGAGCTTGCAGTGAGCTGAGATCCGGCCACTGCACTCCACTCTGGGCGACAAAGCGAGACTCTGTCTCAAAAAAAAAAAAAAAAAAAAAAAAAAAAAAATTGGCTGTATTAATGTTTGATACTGATGTGAATAATCCAGTAAAGATGGGTTGGCGAGGAGATAATTGCAAAATTTATAGAATTCTCTTAATATAAGGAAGACAATTTAGTAGAATGAATCAAGGTTATGAATAGGCCATTAACATAAAAAATACAAATGTACAATAAAAATATGAAAAGATATTTGGCCTCACCTGCTATTCAAGGAAATGGTATATTAAACCAAATGGTATATTAAAACCAAAAGTACAGCTTTTTGAGTGAACTTTCTCAAAAAGCCTTTGTTACATATTTTGCAGATACAGTCGACCCTTGAACAGCACAGGCTTGTTGTACTGTACAGGTCCACTTAATATTCGAATTTTTTTCAACCAGAGGAAGATTGAAAATACAATATTCGGGTGTTGCCAAACTTGCATATAGGAAGGCCAACTTTCATATAGGCAGATTCTGCAGATCTTACGGTGGGACTTCAGTTGAGGATTTTGGTGCAGGGGTCCTGGAACCAACCCCCACGTATTCCAAGGGAAAGCTGTCTCTTCCCCATTGCCACCTTTTTTTCCTGCTAATCACAGAGTTTTAAAATTTTATCTTAGACATCTGTATTAATAATATTCATGGGCCGGGCGCGGTGGCTCAAGCCTGTAATCCCAGCACTTTGGGAGGCCGAGACGGGCGAATCACGAGGTCAGGAGATCGAGACCATCCTGGCTAACACGGTGAAACCCCGTCTCTACTAAAAAATACAAAAAACTAGCCAGGCGAGGTGGCGGGCGCCTGTAGTCCCAGCTACTCGGGAGGCTGAGGCAGGAGAATGGCATAAACCCGGGAGGCGGAGCTTGCAGTGAGCTGAGATCTGGCCACTGCACTCCAGCCTGGACGACAGAGCCAGACTCCGTCTCAAAAAAAAAAAAAAAAAAAAAAAAAATTCATGGCATTGGGGGTCTTACTGTTTTTATTTGGAAGGCTTTTTAACTCCCAAGTTAATAAAAATAACCCTTAATTTCTTCTGGTACTTTTTGTTTTCTAACTTTTTTACATACAGGTCATTAATTCATGTGAAGTTAATTTTATATGATGCTGTGTGAGGTAAGTGGAATGATGCTTTCCCCAAATGAATGAAACATGTTTTTTGAAATATGCTGCAATATGAAATCCATCCTTTATTATAGAGTAGATTCCCAAACATGGTTCTGTTTTTGAACTCATAGAGGCTGAAACAAATGAAATTGCCAGTACTCAAGTTTTGGACATACAGAAACAGCAATTTGGTATTGTTTAACCCACTATTTGTCATGTCCTCTACCAGACTAACACTTTTTTAAACTACTGTAGTTTTATAGTTTGTAATACTATGATAGGATATGTTTATTCTGTTTTTGTTTTTCAAAATGTTATTGGTAGTTCTTGCACATTTAATCCTCCTCCAAAGTATTTTGACTGGAATTGCTTTACATTTAAAAACTAGTTTGGGGATGATAGTCACTGTGGCTCATGCCTGTTTATCCCAGCATGATGGAATGCTATTGGGAGAGGATGGCTTCTTGAGCCCAGGAGTTCAAGATCACATGGCAAGACCTTAATCTCTACAAAAGTAAATGTTTTTGATAAGCCAGTCATGGTAGTATGTACCTGTAATCCCAGCTACTTGGGAGGCTGAGGTGGGAGGATTGCTTGAGGTCAGGAATTTCAGGTGCAGTGAGCCATGATCGTGCCACTACACTCCAATCTGGGCAAGAGTCTTTCTCTCTTAAAAAAAGAGAGAGAGATTAATTTGGGCAATTGATACCTTTTCAGCATCAAAGCATTCATGTCTCGGAATGTGGTGCTTCTCCATTTATTTAGGTCATCTATTATATTCATATCCTTTTTTAGAATTTTCAGTTTTTTTCATGTAAGTTCTATATATGTCTTGTTGAATTCATTTCTCAACATATTTCAGGTAGCTATTGTGAGTGGAAACTCTTTTTCTCTCATAGTATTTTCTAATTGTTACTGACATAAAGACAAAAATACTGATTTTTATGTTTATTCTGTATTCAACCAATGTAGCAATTTTTTTTTTGTGCGGTGGGGGACGGAGTTTGACTCTTGATGCCCAGGCTGGAGTGCAATGGCACGATCTCGGCTCACTGCAACCTCTGCCTCTTGGGTTCAAGTGATTCTCCTTTGTCAGCCTCTCGAGTAGCTGGAATTACAGGCGCATGCCACCACACCTGGCTAATTTTTGTATTTTTAGTAGAGACAGGGTTTCATCATATTGTTCAGACTGGTCTTGAACTCCTGACCTCAGGTGATCATCCCATCCATCGAGCCTCCCAAAGTGCTGGAATTACAAGCATGAGCCACTGCACCTGGCCTGGTGA